AGCCTTTTCACATAAAATATCTCTCGTAGCACCGCAGAATTTACTAATACATTTATTACCTAGCATTTCACTCACTTCGCTCCTTGCTCTTCCTCCTTGACTATCACAATCTTCGTTTTTCCGTCGCGATGGAGCAATTGAAGACTTTCGCGGGCATGTACTGGCTGTAATTTGTGATAGTCACTAACCGTACATTCATCCTCTGTTTCTCCGTGTATTCTTAACATTATTTTATGATCTAGCCGAAATGAAACATCTTATAATACCCATTTTTTTATTTCTATTTCCGTGTTTCGTACAAACGTCTTCACATAATTTAAATCCCAAAACATGTTGGGAAATACTATAAAAGCATCTTTAAAAAGCCCCTCTGAGTCACGGAGGCAGCAATGAAAATCATCGATTTCTAAAATCAAACGCCATATCACTGCTCCACTTCACATTCTATTTGCAGGAAGTTCCACCCAAAAGTACATATTCCTTTTGCTTTTTCTCAAAGAGAAAAAGGCATGAGCAGCTTCGCATAATGCTTAAAGTCGCGAGTTTTGTTTAGACTGTAATTAATATCAGAATCACCCCTGTTCTCAGTATCTAGAAATGGCATCAATAACTATATGGTTATAAAGGAAAGCAAGAATATTTTAGTCAGACAAAATGCTGCTACAAATTGAATAATATATTGCACGTGTGTTCCACCTTTAACATAGCATTAGTCAATGAAATAATTGATTTAACCCAATCAATGCACAGTCAGATGCTACATTTATTAACTCATTCTCTGAACATGTTTATGTATAGTGCATTTGACAAATAGCCCATCGAATATATACAGGGATACATATTGTTTGGCCATTATCCAAGTGATGTAGAGAATATTTCAGCATCTACAGAATAAAATGGCTGAGAGAATTTGTGAGGTTATTTTGGTATTATTAAGGGCCAAGGCCTAAACCTTCGTACGATCTCTGTGAAATACAGTTTGTCCCTGCGAAATTTCCATGATCACAAGAATATTTCCTCGACATTTGAACATTATATTTTCATCGTGACTTCCCCTCTCTTGCGCACTTCGCGGAATAGAAAATGCGTGAAAATTCACCGTGAATTGATTAAGGCGCGAATAAAAATATCACTGTTGGGCCTCAGTGCACAGATTTCCACCTGGTTTTCGTATAGTTTCCGTACACTCTCTGGGTGATTCTGGGAAAATTATTACGCAGTAGGAGTATTTCTTTTCCTTTGTCGTCACTCTGGTCAGCGCGAGAAAGAGTTCTGAGACAAAGGTCTTTTTTTCCTGAATTATAATTTAAAATTTGTCTCATCAATCAACATGTCACACTAGTTGTATTAGCATAAACTACGTGCTTTTCTACCATTTCGCTCTCACTAAACCTTCCTCTCACGCTCTCACACGACAATCATTTACTCTTTTTTCGCAAGCCCAATAAATTTCCCTTTTATTCTGCGGTGACATAAAAATAAACAAATCGTCTCAACAAGAGTAATACGCAGTCGTGGGTGACCAAAGGACAAATGCATATTTTGTGAATGAGAGGGTTTAGAATAGGTTCATTAACAAATTATCAAGCTAAATCTCATGCGCGACGTCTCAAAATAAAGAAGAAAACCATCATAGCGTTTGCAGACGGATTTCTAAGTGCGAAAGGAGTATGTAAAACAGTAAAAAATCGACCTTATTCAGTCATGTGCATAAAATAATTTCTGCGTAGCACAGCAAAATGGAGATAGTGCCAGATTGATAAATGCATTTTCTCATATATTATTATGCGGCTGTATAAGATGAGTATCTCTGTGTGTTGTGCAGAACAATATTTCCCCGGTGCTCTTTGAGTATGATTTCTAAATATAATTTCCAACAATCTTTTCTGTGATATAAAAGCATTTGCCTCATAAAGTGCCAAATACCACCTTATTAATATTTACATACAAGACGTATTTCACGTGGTGAAATCACATTAAAAAACTATTATTAGATTTTAGGTCCTTCATGTTCACTCTATATCCCATTCTGCAATTGTAACCGAAATTATATGCACTTTGTGCAAAAATTGCCACACTGGCACACTCTTACTTTCCGATTATGTAATCGCCATGCCCAAAAATAATCGACCCTACTACCTTTGGGAAAATTTCTCAGAGAAACACGTAAATTCTGCACCGCCATTGCGCTTGGCGGGGCAAAAGTATCCGTGCAGACAATATGTAGGAATTTTTCGTTACACCCACTACATGTTAATTATTTCCGCGTCATTGATTAATGAACTTGGCGTCTCCACTGTAACCATGCGCCTCCATCGGCGAGAGCCAAAATAAATACGATGTGACAGAGCTTCGATTGTAAATAGCAGATCAATCAAGTGACAATCAATTATCCCAATTTAATTATGCATTTTTCTGCCCATTCCAACGCAGACGTCATGGTGATGATCTTTCATCTCGCGCCACTCACCATAGTGGCTTCTTATGTCAGTGAAGTGAGCTCTTCCCTCCTCTGTATTTGATCTGGTGATCTGTAGCGATCATCTGCATGTATTGAGAGATTGATTTATGTTATATTTGAGGAGAAGAAGAGGAGGAGAAAAATGCCGCGAACACTCATCAACGAGGAATCGTTGATATTTCGCTATCGAATCGGTTTTAGCCAAACTATAGGAGATTTTCTATTAAAATTGTAAAATGTCTGCGCAAAATTCTGTGATCGCCAATGATCGTATTCTGTGTACGTTGCTAAAAGTGTTTTTCCCGGGTAATCATAAGGCCATCTGGGACCAATGCCAACAGCAGGCATCAGTGGGATAGAGGACCAGTGTGCAAGACTCCTGGTGGTCAGTCGACGTCGATCTTTTAAGTAGCGCGATCAAAAAACGCCTAGGTTATCTTCGGCTGGGCCCAAGGCCTCTTATATAATTCTTTTTTGGTGCAACATAGCGCCTTTACTAATTTTAGTAAGTTTTCCATGCAATATCTCTGCAAATCCTTTTCCTGCCCCTCACCGCAATTCTCCGGTCACTGGACACGGCCCGAGGATCAGTGGATCACCCATGAAGTGATACTCCCCGCGATCCTCCGACAAGTGTGATGATCATCGATTAAGTGAATGTTGTTTGATTGATAATTGTGTTGAAGATTGCTTGCTATAATGGAGTGCTCTTTGCGGCCCGATGGGACATTTCAATGGACTAAAATTCTCCCAGCGCCAAGGATAAGTACTAATGAGTCTGTGAAGTGATCTCTCTCCCATCAGTCTCTCTCGACCGCCCAAAATTGCGAGCTCCTTGGCTTGAGGCTACCTCCCAAGGATGCTTGGACAGTGAATAATTGTGCAGAAATATCATAGTTTTAAATACTTCACTCAACTACTCTCGGTCTCTCTCTCACTCGCAAAATCTTACGTAACATTGCTCGCAAAATTAATATTAAAAATCCTAAAATATAACACACTGCCGATTGTATTTTCTTGTCTCGCCACTTTTTCCAAGGAACTTATAAATATTCCACATGGATCGTCCATTTGAGACGAAAAGACGTGTGGCGCGAGATGCGAGGACGAGACGTGAAGTGAGATGTCACATGTAATTATTTATACAAAAATTACACTGTTTATTCTCCAATAAATAAGTATTCCATTTGGCATCACTATTCTCTTGGCTTTTTATCACATCCATATGCATGTAGATATATTGAGACAGTGAGAGAGAGTCGCGGTATAGCGAGTGAAAATTCTCAGAATATCATCAAATTCAGCTGATCTTTCTACTCGGTCATTCTAAGTATAGAACTCAGCAGGTAGTCACGTGGCTAGAGCATAAACGCCAATCAGAATTAACCACGACCACCGAAGCTTTCCCGTATTAAATTTATGTTAGGCAGCCTCATGCAGAGGGTACAATCTCGCAGATTCACTATAAATTACATTCCTATTCAAAAACTCTCTCGCTTGTATATTTTTTCTTAAATTTCGCGTACTGACATAGTTTACAAAATAGCCAGCGTTTTGTATTTTTTCTCTCTGCACCTGAAGAATGTGGTCGATTGTCGCTGATATTGCCGAAATAATGGGAATATTTCACCCACTGCGAAATTTATTTTTGCAAATACTTTCGCTGAATAATTTTGCAAATAAACATCTTTGAAAAAATAACGTAAAACTTCATGCAATTCCAGGATATGTAAAATATCAAACTCTTCTTTTTTCAATTCTAAATAAACTAAATAAGTAAATGGCAGTCTAAGTTTAGTAATAGAGAAAGATAACCAAAGCAAAATAATGATATGCTAATGGCGTTGATGTCCATTAAATATTCAAAAGCATGTCTTCAATTAACTTTTTCGTTGAATTCAATTTAGACAATAAATCTTATTTCCCATTAATATATATTTAAGGCATATTATGTAAGAAAATAATGAGGAAAATCTCAAAATATCGGCCTTGGAAAATCACATTTTACTTTTAGAGTTCCTGAAGAGAGTCAAGTTTATGGGGTTTTGGATACACATAGCTCAATGTCTGAGGCAAAAGAAATGTTGTGGGGTTTTGCGACAAGTGTATAATTTTAGCAGGGGATTTAAGTCAAAACATATGCGTAATAAAATATGAGATTCATTGAATCAACTGTTCTTTAAGAATTCTCACTTTCCTAACCACTTTTATTGAATGGTCGTCAAAATGCTAAATTTAGCTAGATCGTGCATAAATTGCAATATCAAGTAAATTAACGGGAAAATTATTGAATTCTAAAAAATGTTGGATCTTCGTGAAATTTTCAATGAAATCTCAAATTCACATTAAATCCTAATTTTCCATGTTGGCTCATAAAACTGCAACAATGCATATTTGAATTGAAATCCCCCTGCATAACGAGCCTTTTTCACCTGCAGATTTCGCCATATGTGGGCAAAATTGAGCAACTCTGCAGGAAAGTTGATGATGGCAACCCTAAATTCACACCGATAAAACATGTCAGCCTCGTATCACATTGTCATCGTTTAGAAAATTGTTCAAACTAATTTTAACTCCAAAAGCTTATTTCAATTCAACTCCATGCACCTGAACAATTAATCTTGTAGTGTTGAATCCCAGTTTAGCCATCTTGACTCTGTTGTGTGTCCATGCAATTTTGGCGGAGCTGAGAGACTGGCGAAAAAAGAGTTGATTTGTCGCACGGGGGGCACAAAAAAGAAGTCATACGATAAAACCACGTAAGTAATAAGAGTATTAAGTGTGATTGCCGAAAGCCACAATCATAAGTCAACAGCCGCGCTGTGTGATAGCTGATTTCGGATGGCCAGGGCCAGTGGGGCGTCTCTGTCAACAGAGATCGCCCCGGATTTCGCTCCTAACCCCTCGCAGACGGGCGCCTTGGGGCTTCCCGGGGGCTGAATGGACTTCACGTCTGGGTATTGCGCCATCTGGCCTCACGCCACTTCCTGGACTCCGCTATCTCTCTGATTCACTCTCTCGTGCCACTGGCGCACATAACCTCTGTTTCGAGCGCCACGCGCGCCCCATTGGAGCTCCCTGGGACAGCTCTGGCCAGACTGTGGCATCCAGATGGGTGTTCAGCTGGAGGTCACCAGCCAATTGCTATTCCACGTCTGCCCCGGAACAGCGCGACTTGATGGTTTCTCGTGTGATTTCTATGCAAAATCACAAAGCAATAATCGTGACGAAATCACTCAATTCGATGACGTGTAAGCCATTGACCGTTTTTTTCCGTGCTCCCCATTCCTCCAGCTGAGCACCGACATCGTGAATAAGTAATCCCCTGGCGCGCGGGACCCGCAATCCCGGCCAGTCCACTCAAGGGGAATTTATTCCGCCCATCCACTCGAGACCTGGACGAGCGCCCTGTTAGGCTCTCACGCAATGCAATGCTAAGGTGAGCAGGTTTTCAGCCGAGTGTCTCGCTGACGGAGATTATGAGAGCGCGCAGAGCAGCTCTCAGCTGTGCGAGAGAGCTCCAGCGTCTGCACAAGGCCCCAATGTCTCGGAGGATCGCGCGTCTGAGTTGCAGGGCAGTGTGGCAGGAAGATCTCAATTAATTGGTGCTCTTCTCTCTGCCTTTCAGAACTGCCGATTAATAAGCTAGTGCGTCAGCAGAATGGAGGACGGCCATGCGAAATCCGTCGATGAGGTTCTAAATTACTTCAACACAGACCCTGAGCGAGGTCTCACTATTGATCAAGTGAAAACGAATCAGAGCAAATATGGACCCAATGGTAAGTGCTGACTTTCATTTCATTTCGGGTTTTTTTTTGCTGATCCATCGTCGAAAACAGTGCCAAATGAAGTTAGATGGGAGTTTAATTAGGGAAGAACGGGGGCAGTTTCGGATATCACCAAATGTTGTTTTAGGTCTGGAAAGTACAGTTATTCTCCACTTGACAATGAACCAATAAGATTGACCATCGATAGGTACTTGTTTGTTTTCATTTGATTTTTATTCTTGAATTCGATACCTTGGCAATTGCGAATCACAGCAAATGAAAATCTAGTGAATGTAAATCCAATGGAATAATTTTTTAACCTGCAATATAGAAGCAAAATAATTAATAATAATTAAATTTGCAAACATTCCAGTTGGATTCAAATTTGGGTGTCTTTAGTTGGAAGGTCGACTAAAAGTTCTAGCAATAGAAATTCTCCAACACAGATATTGCGTGTAAAGTCAAGCTTTACTATGTAAATTTTTAAACACTTCAAGTTACGGAAAATGGAAAGTGTAAAACAATGTCATTAGTATTTATGACAATAGAAAAAAATGGTGAAGAGATAAAGGAAAGAAATCCCGATTCCAATCGAGAGTCTCTCTTTCTGAGCATGTCAATTGTGCATGTGAGAGCTCATAAAGCGGATCTAGTGATTTAAATTTATGCAAACAGGCGTGCTGTGATAAGGTAATTTTTAGAAGAAGAAGCAAAGTTAGATAAAGGAATTTCAAAGCGCAGACATTGTTTCAAATATTTGATCTTCGTCTTCCGGATGGGGTGTTTTGCCCGCGAACACTCATGAATCAGCTGAGGCGATGAGGATTCGGCGGACGGGCGGGTGGAGGTGGGAGATTTGTAAATTGTAGTTTCCAACTACATCCGATAAATCCAATTGCCTCCCACCACCCCACCTTGCGGCCCAATATCCCGTGGATACGGTATGGCAAGTGAAGACTTCATTCAATATAAATATTTATCTTTTTCCCCCCGCACCATCAGTGAGCACAGTTTTTTTTTTCTCTCTCGCTCGATGTGTCTTCCTCGGGACACACAAGGTGTATAAACTTTCATACTTCATAAAAATCCACATGCAGTCTGTGTGAGATTTAAATTCCAGCGCCTGGTGAATCTTTAGCTGTCCGAAAGGAGGTTTAGAACAGAAAAACGTGTCTTATTTAAATACCTAGGAATAATTTCTCTTATCTCCGGGAGACATACAATGTACATAAGGAATCACAATGCCAAGAGCGAGCATGTTGGCATTCTGAGAAGGTGTACAGAGAATTTAGAAATTTGCAATAGAGATTTGGGAGTAGACAGTCATAGATAATTCATATCAATGGAGAGAGAGAACAATGCCCATGAGGCACAAGGAAAATCAGATAATGGGCTTTATTGGTGTTTGAGGAATATTGGTGAAAAAAAAAAAATTTAGTGTCTGCTTGCTCACATCTTATAATCGGAGCATCGATAGATGTGAATTTTCTCTATCATGGTTGGTTTTTTAGCGTAGTAACACAAACTACACTAACAATCGGTTGAGTTGCTCTGCAAATTCGTTGGCTGTAATTGAGAAAAAGGGACTTTTTTCCGCTCTTTGCTAAATTTAGAGAATGAAATGCAAACAACTATTGTGAACTACTGTGTATGCACTTGAGCGAGTATAAATTCATTTGACGACACTAAAATCCAAAATTTACTTAATGAATGCACATAATTTTACCTGGAACCCGCTCCATATGGCATTGATTTAAAGCAGTACAAACAATGACTTGTAAAATCAACATCATATGCTAAATTGCCCTTCAAATGGAGAAGCAACGAACTTTGCCAACAACTCAATTGTTCGCACATATTAACTCCAAAGATCAGTTTAGTTGCTCTCCGTCTATATAATCAACACTATTTGCTCATATTATTTTTTTTTATGGTAAGAAATGGATTTTCTGAGAGCACATAGTATCGGATCGTGTGTTGTTGCTGTTAATAGGGGGGAAAAATGGGTGTTTTAAAACCACAATGGGAGGGAAAAAATAGTTAAAATCCAATACAATATTTTTTTTTCCTTTGAACGGTGAAGCATGTCGAATTATGACATGTCTCTGTGCACACAAGTATTGAATAATGGCAATTTAATAGTGAAATGACGTCAATAAAATTACGCAGAAACTTTCACGTGTAGCCGTGTGAGAATTCAATTTGCTTGTGTGAAGCCCCGAATGAAAAGGACTGGGATAAATTGAAATTATTCAATTATGTGAGGACCTGAATTCAGGGTAGAGATTTGTTGGATAAATTCGGCGCAGAGGATATAGTTACGTAAACTATGAGCACGCTTGTACTCTGAATATTCAATGGAAATGGAGAGAATCGGTGTTACCTGTTGATAAGGCAATGAAGGCACATTTGCATATTAAGCACATTCTTATAATAGACTCTCGCTATGTACGTGGGGAGGTGTTTAGAGAGATTGTTTTTTGCACTTGTATTGATTAAGATTCTTTTTGTGTATAAAACTAATGCTGTGCCTCGCTTTTTTTCTTGTCTTTTCAGAACTCCCCACGGAAGAGGGTAAGCAATTCCACACCTGTCTCTGGAGATGAAGAGAGTGGCGTCGACGTAAAAGGATGGAAGTGATTTTTCCCCTTTTTTCTTTATTTCAGGAAAAAGCCTCTGGCAGTTAGTGTTAGAACAGTTCGATGACCTGCTGGTCAAAATTTTGCTTTTAGCTGCTATTATTTCATTTGTAAGTGCAATTAACTTTACAATCCGCTCGCCAAAGGCCCCAATTTTTCCATCATTGATTTTTATTGGCACGTGCGATCGTCATTTACTGTGGTCCGGGCTTTAGAATAGCAGAGAATCTGTGCGTGCGGGAAGCTCGAGTGAGTGTCTGGATTCTTCCCCACGGCGATCATGTGAGGGAAAGTGTCTCTTTTCTCTCGCTCTTCATTCGTTTCCTTGAGAAAGACATACATCTCTCTCGAGAATGAGCAGCGACAGTTTTGTGAGGATTTTTCCCACCTCTCTCTCGCATCTATTCGATCTTATAGACACAAAAGTGACTTTAATTTTAGCCAGAGTCTCTCTGACGTCACTAAACGTCTTCTATAATTACACACACCTTTTACATTGGCCTATCTATCCTTTTATAATGAAAACTCAAAATATCTTTCATCTGGGTATGTGTTCTCTTCATGTATACGTGCACATAAATTTTAGTGGATTTTTTTCCCCTGGATGTTCTTTCACCAAATATTGTGGGGTGAAGCGCAAGATGTAATCCATAAGATCATTGATGGCGAAAATGATTTCCTGTGTTTTTCTCTCCATCGTCGATGATCAAAAAGAGAAATGCCTTTTTGTGAAAAATAAAATTCCACTATTTTATACGCCATTACCAATCGGCTCGGAGTGGGTGAGGAGAGCTGATCTATGGTTTGGTGAAGAACTGAAGGAATGATATGATTTTCAATCATCCATCTCGCTCTTTCACATCTGAGCGAGCGGCGAAAAAATTCCTCATTTATGTCTTCCTCAATCATTTAACCTACGAGCATTTCTTCTTCAATTTTATATTTATAATAGGACCCGATACATTCGGAACATTTCAAACAAATTCCTATTTTTAAATGATCATTGTCCCAACCCCTCCAACGCCCCTCGAAGTTGCCACTCCGCCGTATGAGATTTACAACACTTTCCTTGGCGCGTTCTTTGCTTAATTGATGCCGGAGAAACGGGGGAAATTGGCGAGAATGGAGAGGAGAATTAGTGATTATTGCGCACTTTGCGATGATCGCATTAAACGGTCAATAACGAGTTGCTTTCCTTCCGTAGGTACTGGCTCTTTTCGAGGAGCATGAAGACACATTTACCGCATTCGTTGAACCTTTTGTTATTTTGCTCATTTTAATTGCCAACGCCGTTGTAGGAGTGTGGCAAGAGCGCAATGCCGAGTCTGCGATAGAGGCACTGAAGGAATATGAGCCGGAGATGGGCAAGGTGGTGCGTGGAGACAAGTCTGGTGTCCAGAAGATTCGCGCCAAGGAGATTGTCCCAGGTGATATTGTTGAAGTGTCCGTGGGTGACAAGATTCCGGCCGATATCCGTCTTGTGAAGATCTTCTCAACGACCATTAGGATTGATCAGTCCATTCTCACTGGTGAATCTGTCTCCGTGATTAAGCACACCGATCCCGTGCCCGATCCACGTGCCGTGAATCAGGATAAGAAGAACATCCTGTTCTCTGGCACCAATGTTGCCGCCGGCAAGGCGCGCGGTGTTGTCATTGGCACTGGATTGTCGACTGCCATTGGTAAAATTCGTACTGAAATGAGTGAGACTGAGGAGATTAAGACGCCACTGCAGCAGAAACTCGATGAATTCGGTGAGCAACTGTCCAAAGTTATCTCCGTGATTTGCGTTGCCGTCTGGGCCATCAACATTGGTCACTTCAACGATCCCGCCCACGGTGGCTCATGGATCAAGGGTGCCATCTACTACTTCAAAATCGCTGTGGCTCTGGCTGTCGCCGCCATCCCTGAGGGTCTGCCCGCTGTCATCACCACTTGCTTGGCTCTCGGCACTCGTCGTATGGCGAAGAAGAATGCCATCGTGCGCTCCCTGCCATCCGTTGAGACTCTGGGTTGCACATCTGTTATCTGCTCTGATAAGACCGGAACCTTGACTACCAATCAAATGTCCGTCTCTCGCATGTTTGTGTTTGAGAAGGTTGAGGGAAATGACAGCAGCTTCCTCGAATTTGAACTTACTGGATCGACGTATGAGCCAATTGGTGATCTCTACCTCAAGGGCAACCGCGCCAAGGCCAGCGACTATGACATCCTTCAGGAAATGGGCACGATTTGTGTGATGTGCAACGACTCTGCCATTGATTTCAACGAGTTCAAGCAGGCTTTCGAGAAGGTCGGTGAGGCCACTGAGACAGCCCTGATTGTGCTGGCTGAGAAGCTGAATCCCTTCAATGTGTCAAAGACGGGTCTGGATCGTCGCTCATGTGCCATTGTGGTGCGCCAGGAGATTGAGACCAAGTGGAAGAAGGAGTTCACTCTGGAGTTCTCTCGCGATCGTAAATCCATGTCATCATATTGCGTGCCACTGAAGCAGTCCCGCCTCGGTACTGGTCCCAAGTTGTTCGTCAAGGGCGCCCCTGAGGGTGTGCTGGATCGCTGCACACATGCCCGTGTTGGAACCGCCAAAGTGCCACTGAACACCACGCTGAAGAACAGGATTCTGGATCTCACCCGCCAATACGGTACTGGACGTGATACTCTGCGTTGCCTGGCCCTGGCCACCGCTGACAGCCCAATGCGCCCCGAGGAGATGGATCTGGGCGATTCTACCAAGTTCTTCACCTATGAGGTGAACCTTACATTCGTTGGTGTTGTTGGTATGCTTGATCCACCCCGCAAGGAAGTGTTTGACTCCATTGTGCGCTGCCGTGCTGCTGGAATTCGCGTCATTGTGATCACTGGTGACAACAAGGCTACGGCCGAGGCCATCTGCCGTCGCATTGGTGTGTTCGGTGAGGATGAGGACACCACTGGCAAGTCCTATTCTGGTCGTGAATTTGACGATCTGCCCACTAGCGAACAGAAGGCCGCCTGCGCTCGTGCTCGTCTCTTCTCCCGCGTGGAACCAGCTCACAAGTCCAAGATTGTTGAGTTCTTGCAGAGCATGAATGAGATCTCCGCTATGGTGAGACGCCACTAAGAAGCTGCGAAAGAAGCTTGAACATAACTAATTTCACTCCTTTGCAGACTGGTGATGGTGTCAATGACGCTCCTGCCCTGAAGAAGGCTGAAATTGGTATTGCCATGGGCTCTGGAACTGCTGTGGCCAAGTCAGCATCTGAGATGGTGTTGGCCGATGATAACTTCTCATCCATTGTGTCTGCCGTTGAGGAGGGTCGCGCCATTTACAACAACATGAAGCAATTTATCCGCTACTTGATCTCCTCCAACATTGGTGAAGTCGTGTCTATCTTCCTTACTGCCGCTCTCGGTCTTCCAGAAGCTCTTATTCCCGTTCAGCTGCTGTGGGTGAACTTGGTGAGTGGCGTGTGACCAATGAAATTACACCAGACCACATTTTTAATACGTAATTTCCTCTTCCAATTAGGTCACTGATGGTCTTCCAGCTACAGCTTTGGGCTTCAACCCACCGGATTTGGACATCATGCAGAAACCACCGAGGAAGGCCGACGAGGGTCTCATTTCCGGCTGGCTCTTCTTCCGGTGAGTGTGCGCAGTGATATTGAAGCATTTGTGCACGGTGTGATTGTGCATTTTATCCATTATAGATACATGGCTATTGGTGGATATGTGGGCGCCGCGACCGTTGGAGCTGCCGCCTGGTGGTTCCTGTACTCCTCAACTGGTCCACAGATGTCCTACTGGCAGCTGACACACCATCTGGCCTGCCTTGGTGGTGGTGATGAGTTCAAGGGAGTTGATTGCAAGATCTTCAACGATCCTCATCCTATGACCATGGCTCTGTCTGTGTTGGTCACCATTGAGATGTTGAACGCCATGAACAGGTGAGGTGTTATCAAGACATGCGTTAGTAGCGCTGTAGGAAGCAATTTCACGCTTATTCACGATGTCAATCAATATGTTGTTACAGCTTATCAGAAAATCAATCTCTTATCTCAATGCCACCATGGTCCAACATGTGGCTCGTTGGCTCAATGGCTCTCTCTTTCACGCTCCACTTCGTGATCCTCTACGTGGATGTCCTCTCAGTAAGTATATACAGTGCAAAAACTCTTCAGACCTATTTCTTTCAGCTTCGAGAAATTTCTCCACGTTATTGCAAGAAATTCTGCTGACTAATTACAGTGTGACTTATCAGGGCAATCGCAATCTATTGCCTGTGTATTAGGGAAGCGTGGTTTATAATACAAATAGTCTTGGCCTAAATATTGGCATGCAGGAAAATGAGAAAATGATAAGAATACTTTAGTCACGTTTCGAAGAAAACAACTTAAGCTCCAACGAGTGAGAGGTTATCTTTGTGAAATTCAGATTCAGTCAATGAACGGGAAATCTCTAGTAGATTAAACTCATGGCTAATGTGTAATCCCTTCTCAACTTGTGCTTTGTCTCTTCCGCAGGCCGTGTTCCAGGTGACACCGTTGTCCGGTGATGAATGGATAATGGTAATGAAGTTCTCGATCCCAGTAGTATTACTCGATGAAGTGCTCAAGTTCGTCGCCAGAAAGATCACAGACGGTGAGAATCCCCTATACACTGTGCACTGGATTGTGCTCATGTGGGCAGTGTACTTTGGCTTGCTCATCTGGGGACCTCTGTAAAGAGTGGCCGGCAAAGTGTTGATCATTTTGCTGCAGTGCAATATAAATATTTTTTTAAAATTATACATTCATTGAGGCATAATTGCGATGAGAAGATTAAGCATTTTAGTAAATTGAAATATTTCTTGAAGACAGAGATTTTTGAGAGCAACACCTTAGAAGAAAAGGCATGAGAAAATCTCAAAATTGTACAGAGGTGCCCCTGCTGAAGCCTTGTGTCAAAAGAACAGTGTTTTCTTAAGATTAATTGCCCCTCTTAATATTAGGATATAAGGTGAAGAAGAAGATTTAAAAAAAAAATAGTTTTTGCAGAGCAGAAATTGAAAACATAAAAAACTCATAGTTATTGCACAGAATATTGTGGTTTTTTATGTTTTTGCTTGTGTTCTTTCCACCAATTTTCCCCCCTTTTTAATAGATAAATTTACCCATTGTAGTTTTAATCAGAATACTTTTTACAAATCTAATTATACATTTACCTACAATTCAATTGCTCATGAGAGTGAAATGTGAGAATGATGATAAACATACAGGAAAATACAAAGGAGATAGGAAGAGAAACATGATAAAACAACATTGTACATTTATGATATCTGAGTAACATAACATTCAGATACCAGAATTATAATCTCACCAGTAATAATAATTCATGCAATTGTTGTTCCCTAATCAAGCACAAGTTTGAAGTGATTTGGGTTGACTTTATGTGTTGTAAGAGGCCAAACTTAAAAAAAGAAAAGAAAAAATCTTATTGCAAAGACAAAATCCCAGAAGAACGGGTGAGCAATTTAAGAATAACATTCGAACTGTGTGTATTTAATTGTGTGTTGAGCAAATAATCTGGCGGGATGATTCTTTAATTTTTACAAGAAACCATTAAAATATATTGTACATGATTTCAATCACGTGTATTTTATCAAAACGAAATGAGATGGAATGAGAAATCCGATTACCATATTTTATTTATTTCCTAGTAAATATTTATATCGAGTTCTTTTATATGATTGAACACAGATGATGAGAGAAACATAATTAGATATATATATATATTTTTTCAATTGTATTCCTTGTAAATAGCAGAAGAGAATGTGAATGCGACGAAATACACGTGTTTGATCAGTAACATCTTTCCTTAATGTCATTACTTTTTTGTATTTATTATAACTAATGTTTATTTACTACTAAATATATGCGATAAGATGAGAAACATGAAAAGATAACTCACTCACTATAAGAAATACAATAGAGAGAACATTAGATAAGGGAGAGTAAAACGAGAAAATTCACAAAAAAATATATATAGACTAGGAAACAGAGAAAAGAGAAAGCCTGGAAGTGATTGAACACTTTTAATTATAGGCATTACGTATTATAGTGATGATGAGGGGAAATTAAGGGAATTTGGAGAGGTGCTTAACAAAATGCAGGGTGGTTTCTAATTTCCTTTCAATCGGCTCTTTCACAGCAATTTGGCCAAACATCTACACATTTATATACGCATTTTTTCCTCAAGATATTATTCTGAAAGGTCAAACGAAGCATTAATCAGTCCGTCGCGGTTTCGTCTCACTTGCTAAAAATACCCACCGTGGTCAAAATCAAGGTGTAAATCTCATTTTAGATACCATTTATTTTCTATCTCAAGGGAGTAAAGTGGCAGTGTGATGCCAGAAATAGTGACGCACCTGTTTTGTCGGAAATTCTCATCAATTCCTCTGCTAGACAATCAATCAATCCACTCGGAAAGGTTTCGCCTCCGCACTGCACGACACAATCTTCCACGGATATTTCAAGAATTCCCTCTGAAGAGACGCATTCCATTTGTCTGAGCTTTTGACAAATCTTTTTAAGAAACACGATCGCAAAATTAGGCATTCCTCTGTTGAGCATACAGTGAATTGTGTGTGGAGGCAAATTTCAGTCAATAAGCGTAACACTATTTCTGATATGACACTGTCCATTAGCTTTAGAATGACATTCATCAGTGATTAGTAATAAAATTAAGAGGCATTTTTCATGGTGGACATTCTTAGCAATGATGATGAAGGGCAGAAATAGGCAACTAAACACCCTGTTTAAACATGATGAGATCTATTTCTTAATTTCTGTTAGAAAGTGCCTCACTTCCCTGTTAAATGATAGTGTGTATAAATAATTCTGTAGGGATTTAAGGATAAGGAGGCGAAGAGGTACAAGATTAATTTTTAAGTAGGTGATCTTTTCAATGAATCCCCCTTTTTCTGGTGTCTTTTTCAATGAAATCTACTTTGTATAAGGAGTTTTATGTAATTGGTAGGTAGAGAAGAGATTTTTGGAAATATTTTTATCGGTAGATGTTAGATTGAATTGAAAGAAAAATTTTGTTGTCTTTTTACCCAATTTATCTTTTGAGAATAAATATATTCCAATGTGCGCCAAATACAATTATTTAGTCATAAAGATGCAGAATGACGTGGTGAAACGACAAAACCAAGAACAGAAAGCAATAATGATCCCTTTTACAAAGGAATTCTAACTATTACGGGCACGATTCGATTGTGGTGAATTGTGAATCATATTCAGATCTTTTTCCGTTTTCTTTCAACATTATAATCAGTTTTCTATTCCCCCATTTTCTTCGTGTGCGATCAATGTACTTATTTTTTTTTGAAAATTGTCGTAATTTCACAAGAGAGAGAAAGATATAAATATATTAGGTTATTGAGAAGAGAGTAGTTTTTAGTGGCCACTGTGAACGGCAAACCAAATCAAATAGAGAGATGAAGTAGGTAACAAAGACTTGTCTCGCAAGGCCTAAAAACCTTCTAAACATCCCACACTTGTTACATAAACTACAAATGGTAGAGTGAAAACTTAAAATAGGCTCGAATCTTATGTATAAAAAGATACCTTTACAAATCTTTCTCCTCTCAATTTAGTATGACAGAGGGAGAAAGAGAGAGAACAAATTTACTACAACTTTAATTACCACTTGGGAGATCCTCTTTGAAAATTTGTGTAGCCAATTTTGACTTCATCTTTTCCGATATATAGAGTACATATATTCCTTTTTACTAACATGTACTTTTACTGCAAGAAAAAATATATATATGAAATACAATACAATATATTTATAAAAGTAGACGAAACCAGATTAAAGGGAGTCTAAATACAAAACAGAAATATAAAAGAATAGTAGAAAAAATGAATCATATTAAACAAGAAGTAATTTATAGAGAAAAAAACCTACATTATAGTGAACACTACAATGAATGTATAAGGTTACAGATGAACACAGGAACATGAAGAAACTACAAAACAAAGTAATGATTTTTGTGACGTGTGTATTTGAGACTTTGGCTTTATTAACAAACTATTTCTCATAATATTAGATATGTTAGATAAAAAAAAAGAATGGTTAGGATGACTAGAGCGAGAGGAGAAACAATAATAACGGTAGTGGAGAGACTGCTGTTGAGGAAGAATGATTTTTTGAAGATTGTTAATAAAAATATAATGTAATAAAATTCCCGAAATTTTGTATACTTTTATTGCTTTTCAGTTTTCACTGCCCTCTAATTGTATGTTTATTTTTTTATTTTTTGAGAAAAGGTGTATTTTATGCATGCTGGGTTTTATCACAGTGTTTCCTAACATTTTGCAATTTGTGTAAGTATGCAGCAACTGATCCACATCAAAAGTACAAAGAAAAGAAACGACATTCATCGACATATTCAGAATGAAGACTGATTAATTCATAGTTCTAATGGTTATTCTTGTTTGATATCCTTTTATATTAACATGATTTTCTCTTCCCTGCAGTACGACCTGAATTCCACTAAAGAAGATGTGCACCTGACACCTCGCACTTACCAAATTATCCCTCAAAAAAAAAAAAAAAACATCCTTCATTGTAGAATTGGGACGAGTCTACAAGAGAAATTTATACCATCTAACCGAGAGAATTTTGTGGCGAATGCATATGAAACAAGACATCAAGATGCATTGAAGATTGACGATTTTTAAAAAGAGTTATGAAAAAATCTTTCAGACAAGACACAGAACTGCTTCTTAAAAAAAGAGATTTTTGAGAAAGTTAATTTAAGTTTAAAAATCTACTAGATTAGTGTTTCTCTAGTTTAACTACAGTTTCTTTATCACTTCTTTTTCCCACCTATCAACTCTTATTGTACTTCTTCCTGAACCCCGATAACAGATCTCTCTTTTATCTTACTTTATCCAACAATCACAGTGAAATGATGCATGATAAGTATATTCTCACTTTTGTTCTTGCACTATCACTTCCTATGTTGATTATTATCTAATTTTACTTAGATCAGTAAATTATGTATCAATTTATTTTCCATTATTTCAGCAATATAAAACTGTTTTGTAATTCTTCTCTTATAGTTGAGGTGGTTGTTGACAAGTGGGGCAAGTAAAGGCTCACCCCGCGAAATCATCTCCAACTGAAGAAATCAAAAAAGAAAATCACGCTAGAACATCGAAAATTAAATGAACAAGAATTTTCTTCATTTGTATAAACAAAAAAGTCATCTCTTTTCTCACAAGGAGTATTATTATTCGTGCATTGTTTTTTCAAATAACCCTTTACCGTTTGACTTGTGAATATTATATTGAAGAAGTGTTCCCCAAAAAAACAAACCGAATTTCAATTGGCTTCTCCGCAATTTACTTCTCTTTTCTGAGTCCAACATTTTCACTCAAGTCTTTGAAATTTTTTTTAGTAGTAACGCTGTAAAAGATTTGTATAAAGAAACAATCAAGTATGTATATAAATAAAAGTGACATGTTTGAATTATACTGAAAGGAAGTAAAGTCCTTGTAAAAGTAATTGATAAAAAAAAGTCATATTATCCCTCCCTCTTAAAGATACAAGTAATTTTAATCTAAGATTTTCCCATATTGTAATTATTAGTAATTTATTTGTTGAAACGTTTGTGTTTGTCTTTAAAAAAAAAAACAGAAATGAAAGTAAATAATTTATAGGTCAATTTCTTATTAAAGTTTAGAAATAAAGATGAGAAAACATGATTGACGAGAATAAAAGAAAAAAAAACACTTTTTTTTACTTCTTTCGCCACTCTTTCTCTTCTTCGCCAAATACAGAGTGAGAAGAGTTTGCGGTGGGGAAAGGATATTAGACAGTGATGTGAGATACGAGTTGCAAAAAGATTTACTAAAGAAAAAAAAGAGAACATCAAAGGATAGAAATGTTTATAAGAGTCTCATTATTAGTCAGAAAATACGTATATTTAGAAGAAAAACTGTGCCACAGACAGCGTGGTAAGGGTCATTATGGAGTAAAAAGAAGAATTATGTAAATAATAAATAAAGAAAAAATATACAAATTGCCTTTCACTCGAACCAATATATCATCAATCCATTTGAATGGTAATTTCCTTGGTAATCCTCATATTTCTCAAAACAAACAGAAAAGCCAACACTGCACAATTAACACTAATATCCAAGACTAATGTTTGCACACTATTTGAAGTAGAATCACCTACTGTGCAACTACACATTAAGAGCGATATTTGTTTCTTTAAAACAATTTAAATTTATTTCCTAATAAATTTGGATTTTTGCTACAAAATTTTAAATAAATCTTTGCTACGTATTCAGTTTAGTTCTCTGCAGTCTTGGTTCCTCAGGGCTTCTTTCCATTGATGCTCACCAACATCTTCCTGTTGACATTGCTGAAGAACAGCAGTCCTGCTGCTCTTTCTATCGTCTCCGGTGGCACTTGGAACATCGTGACCGGTGTCTGGTCGCTGATCACTTGATTGGGCATCACGAAGGACTCCATTTCCAGCTGCCCGTCGCTCCTTTCGCACACGACCACCTTGAAGAAGTGCGTGGGCACGGCCACGGAGTTGTTGCCGATCACCTGGTACTTCACGTACATCTTCCCGTCGTCCTCTCGACGCGGCAGGTACAAAGGACCTGTGCAGCAGTACACATTTGCGTACTTCTTCGTCAGCTTCCTCACGTACTTCTCCAGCCTGTTCCAGGCATCGCGATTGAAGCCACTACCCACCTGTGGCGCCATGTTGCTGAGGAAGAAGGTGTCCTCGCAGTGCTTCTGGTGGAACTTGTGATTCCCCGCGGCCGCCAAGTGGCCCCTGTCGAAGCCCGAGTGCTTGTAGTCCGAATTCTCAGATCGGAAGAAGGGATGAATCGTGTCATCCGGCTTGAAGTCACACTTGGCGCGATCCACGTCTGGATTCGGCTTGCAGCCCTCCGGCGTGAGGTGTTCAAACACCCAATGAGCCACTCTGTTCCGCCGATCGTAGGACAGGATGTAGTTGTCGAAGGAGCGGATTTGGTCGAATCCAGGAAAGCCGTACTTCATGATCTGAGATGTTCGGCTGCTGCTGACTCCCTTCGAGGGCACCACGTCCGGGAGAGACACAGGAGTTGCAGCGTAGACACTGTCGAATAGTCCTGGAATCCCAGGAAACTGTCGAAATAAGAATTCAGCTCCTGACAAGATTTAATATAAATATTTAGCAAACTCACAATTTCCTTGCATGGCTCTGTCCGTCGACGCTCTATGAATGAGCCAGCAAAGTATCCTGTGAGAGTCAGCGAGGATCCGATTAGCAGCTTCCTGAACATCTTGAAACTCCAGATATTTTATGTAACTTCAGCTAACCTCAACCGCTCAAAAGGACTATAAGTATAGAACGAGATATTTTGTCAGTTTTACTACATGAATATCTTCCAACGGGACCTTCTTTTATTGGATCCTGAAGAGACCTGACGTATGTTTCAGGATTAACAAGAGAAAATGACTCCGGCACACAAACAAAAACATGAGGAAACTTTGAGAACGAAATCAGCTGATTCCATTGGCGTACTTAAACATTTTTCATCTTTCTTTGGCTCAAGCTTTAACTAGATTTTCAGAACATTTTATGCAAAACCTGTGTAAATGGACTCAAGGGTAAGATTTGCACTGTCGACACATTCTCTATAAGTGAAATATGCGGCATTAATGCATAAAATCTTGATAAAAATACTGTAAGCAAAGCGAAAATGTGATAATTCTTCCCTCAGAAGTTAGCTGGCGCTGCAATCGAAATATTTTAAGCAATTTTAAAATACCAGAACTGAGCTATTTTACTGGACTTTCTACCTCAAAGATACCCCAATCGAGAATGAGCCGTTCCAGATGCTCAACACCAAACGATTGCAAATAGAAGCGACACCAGAATTGGCCACATTGATTACTGGATGGTTAATTTATTGATGTAATACGCAGTGTTAGGATTACATGCACGATTATTACCTACAATTCTACCACAGAGATGCAAAACTAAATCACACATCGTCAAATAAGCGAGTGGGTGTCTTGTAATGGCCACTATCGTCATTTGTGTACGCACGGAATTCGATTCTATCGTCCGTGTCAAAGTTCAAGCTATCATCGACATCGAGTGCGAAGTTCTGCGTTATATTGCTCCTGATGTCGTCAAAGTCCGTGTTCTCCACCACGCGGAAGTTATCATTGGCGATCTGCGTGCTCTCAGTCTCCGACAGATAATTCCCGCTCCGCAATTCGCTGCCATTGCGACGTCGCGATGCCGTTTCGGTCATTCGGCGCTTCTTTCGCTTCTCCCGCGAAATGAGGTCCTTTCCCTCCTGCACAATCTCATCGGACATGTCCTCATTCACCATGAACTGCTGGAATCCCAGAGCGTTTAGCGTGCGACTGCCCAAATTGAACCACGTGGCCAGACAGAAGGCGATCATCAGCATGGGGAAGTAGATGTTGAAGCCATCCGAGATGATCTCCAACACGTCCATGTGGCCCATGACTTGCGTGTAGAACGTCTCTGAGATGCGCTCCTTGATGATGTGCGAGTCCATGTGGATCAGGCCGAGGAAGTTGAGACAGATGGGCGGCGTGAGACGGCACAGCAGCATCCCGCAGAAGATCAGGCTGTGCTCGTTGGTTTGGTGATGAGGCGCCAAGTAGTACAGGTTGAGGAACTTGATCCTGAACACCGTGCTGTAGGCGCAGTAGCAGAGGTAGCAGAGGACAAACATGGAGAAGAGCTCAATGGTGAGGAAGTCATAGTTGCGCTTCGCCAGATTCACCACGTTGGCGAAGATCGAGAGCACGGGAGAGCGATTGAAGAAGGTCAGCTCTGACCACACCACTGTGACGGAGAGGAAGGCCGTGGCCACGGCCAGAGCCTTCATGAGAGGCGGTCGAAGGAGGCAATACCAGTACCAGGCGGCCTTTGCATTCTGGAATCGACTGTGTGAGTTGCCGAACTCACTGCGGAAGCACCGCTCGGAGGAATGTAGGTTCTTCAGAATGGCCTCGTAGTGCAGCACTTTCTCGATTTGTATGTTCCAGAGCGCCTGAAAAGTTAAAGCGTCAGCACTGATTTACCAGCGTTTTCCTGGGAGAAGAACACTCACCTGTGTTCTCTGGAACACTTGCAGGGACTTAATCACTTGGCGATGGAGTCTGCTCAGAGACTTCTCGGATGGCAACACGCTGGATATGTTCTGCTCCACATCCTTCCTCTTGTACCGCTCCATCAGCTCCACAGGCACCTTCCGATTGATGATGTTCACGTAAACACGCAGCTCGTGATTGTGCGGAATGGTGTTGTTGATGTAGTGCAGCGAGTCCAGGACATCTTCCACGTTCTCCTCGGCCTCGATTTTCTCTGAGTTGAGCTTCGAGAGCTTGAAGTACGCGTGCAGCAGCATGAACTGAGGATTGGAGTCGTTCCAGAGACTGCGCGGCACCTCCACAAGGGCGTAGCCGAGGAGGAGAATGAGCAGAAAGAGTCCCCAGGTGTTGGACGCCGACGAGGCGATCGCCTTGAGTTTCTGCCAGTCGAGACTTATCTCGGGCTTGGCGATGAGGTAGATCAGGAGAATGCCGCAGATGAAGAGATACGTGCCATAGTAGATGGCATTGTCCACGAGGGCGGACGTCAGCTTCCCCTTGATGGTGAACTCGCCGGACTTGAGATAGGACTGCATCAGGGGCATGATGAGCCAGGTGAGAAACTGGGACGACCAGTAGATGATGCGCCAGAGGACCAGGAACACCGAGTCCGAGACCATGCCCCAGGGCTGCTGGCAAGTGTTGTGACCGAAGTCTTGACTAGTTAGGTTGCTGGCAATCGCGCTGGCGTTGTTCTCCTGCTGACACTGTCGGTAAACCGTCTGGAAAATCAAGGGAAATCAATCGAGACATCAAAGCGAGACGAGAATAGCAGCAATTTACCGCAGTGATGTCCTGCGGAATGATGAACACGATGGAGAACGAGAAGCACCACGCAATTGCCACCGTGATGGTGACCAGGACGTTCTGTAATTGCACTTTCCCATACCTGTACAGGGACACACAGGCGATAAGGAAGGAGGATATGAGGGAAAACTCGAGTAGCCAGGCCATTTTTCACGCAAAGAGCTGGATTTTTTTCTCCAAAAAACAGATTGTGAGTGACGTCTTAACTCTGGGCTGTTTTGCACCTCAATTTCTGCGCTTCTAGCTGCATTTTCTCCAACTTTTCCACAGTAATTGACTTCAGGGGCATCAAGTGGGGCTTGCAGAACACAAAGTCCGGCTTATGCTGGAAAAATAGCTTTCCCGATGCTGGCAAAAGGATTTTCACTGGCAATGTACTTTTGTGTGTATTTTCTGACATCGCGACTCTGGAGCGATGTTGATAAACTTTACAGCATGCTCTATTGTTGGCAAGAGGTTTGCACAAAAAGTTCCGACAACACTTATTTAGATATATTATTACTTTATCTAAATTCAGCAATGCCCCATCACAAAGTGTAAAGCGGGAAATGTTATTTGTATTTTAGTTATGTCTGGAAATATTGTATTATCAATATCAATTATAGATTACTGTTTTACTAGTTCCATTACTTCGTCGAACTACGAGTTTGGAGCAGCAAAAATCGATATATTTCATTCCGCAACGTTGGCAGCTCTGTGTTTCCCCTCGATTTTCCTTCAAGTTCCCCTACTCAGCATTTTTCTTATAAGAATCAAAGCTCCAGCAATATTCAAATTGGTCTATTAACACATTCTTTCTCATCAAAGTGCAAAAATTAATATTAAATTTACTACAGTTGTGTTTCCAGCGCCAACATATCCGTGGGAAATTCGGGAATTTTCCGCTGAGTGTCTGGTTAGTTGCATGAATGCCCAACGTGGTGGCGCCACTGTCGACTCCAAAAGACAAATGGCGTCTGTTGAGTGATTGGTGGTGAAGAAAATAAGATTTTCCACAGCAAAAGACATTTCAAACTGGGCTGAAAACACGGGAGTGTGGAAAATTAGCAAGTGTGTTATCAAGTGCATGTGTTAGTTGGTGTTACAGAAGGTGGAAAGTGTGTTGTTTGAGAGTGCTTCCATCGACGCTCAACCTTTGTTTGTTTTGTCAACATTGCGCCCCCGCAATGGAGTCCGTGAGCTGACTGTGGCGTGTTTGTAAGGATCTGTACAGTCGGGAGTAGCATGGAGGACTCCCAGGGACTTTCTGGTGAATATTCAGTGGTTTTCCAGCAATGTTGACGATCCAGTGCTGATTTCCGCGGTGTCTCTTGCAGATGGTGAACGGCGGGAGGAGCTGAAAGATGCAGAGAAGCTCCTGGATGACTCGAATTCCAGTATTGACTCCTCTTCCTCTTCGAGTAACGATGATTCAGACAGTGACAGCGACACAGACTCGCAGATATCTTCCATCTCGGACATCCTGCAGCTGGCAATTGATCCAGCATCCCGGAGTTGGGTGAGATTCAGAAGCCGATCCCTGATGTCTCGACGAGACACTCACTATCGCCTTTCTGCTGCAGATACAGAGTCAGCTGCTCTCGGGCGCGAGTCCGCGGGCCATTCTCGGCGGCCTGCTCGGGAGCGACAGCGCCGCTCTTCCGGACGGCCTCTGCAGCATGTCGCTGTGGTACATCATCTCATTTCTGTCGCAATCCTCAGTCAAGCGTCCGAAGCTGAGTCACATCAACACGGTGACGGATGTGGTGCGTCTCATGCGACAGTCGAAGCGCGTGATTGTGCTCACTGGCGCTGGCGTGAGCGTCTCCTGCGGCATCCCGGACTTCCGGTCACGTGACGGCATCTACAGGCGTCTGGCGGCAGACTTTCCTGATCTCACCGAGCCGCAGGCCATGTTCGACATTAGCTACTTCTCGCGCGACCCGCGCCCTTTCTACCGCTTCGCGCGCGACATCTACCCAGGGCAGTTCGAGCCGAGTCCCTGTCATCGCTTCATTCGACACCTGGAGCGTTGCGACCGCCTGCTGAGGAACTACACGCAGAATATTGACACGCTGGAGAGAGTGGCGGGCATCGAACGGGTGATCGAGTGCCATGGCTCCTTTGGCACGGCATCCTGCACGAGATGCAGGGATCGGGTGCCCTCGAGCGCAATCGCTGAGGACATCAGGGCGCAGCGAATCCCACTGTGCCGACTCTGTCACCCCGGCGAGGAGTCTCCGTCGGCGGCCGGAGATCTGCCTCGAGAACTCGTGGCCAGCGGCATTATGAAGCCGGATATTGTATTCTTCGGCGAGGGACTGCCCTCGGCCTTCCACGATGCCATCATGACGGACAGGGACGCCTGTGACTTGCTCATCGTGATAGGATCCAGCCTGAAGGTGAGTTGCCCGACAGAATGCGGAACTGATTCGATGAACTCATGCTTTGGCTCTCTTCCAGGTGCGCCCCGTGGCCCTGATTCCCAGCTCTGTACCGCCGCACGTGCCCCAAATTCTCATCAATCGTGAGCCTCTTCCCCATATGCGCTTCGACGTGGAACTCCTGGGCGACTCGGATGTGATCATTGATCACCTGTGTCAGGAATTGGGTGGTGAGTGGAAAGACATCTGCTGGCGTGACACGCGACTCACTGAGAGGCCCGCCGAGGGTGCCACTGTGCACCCACCTAAACTCTCGCCCAGCGGCGATACCTTGGATGGCGTGCCTGAGCTCAACCAGGTGGTGCCGGCCGCGCCATCCTGCCACCGAGACGACTCCGGAATTGGCGAGTCCAGCAACTCCACGGATTCTCCTGAGGCCACTTGGAAGCTTCCGGCAGACACCTTCTGTCGCGTCGAGGGCGCCACGTACATCTTCCCGGGGGCGGAATACGAGCGACAACCGCTAAAGAGGCGCTCGGCGGAGGCCGTCCAGGAGGAGAGCGAGCTGGCGGCCAAGCAGCCGCGACTGTGACAAGCAATCGGGGTGGGAAGACGGTAAATAAATTGTGGAAAAGTTTATTCGTCTGGTTCGTTCAGGGCTATAATCTTCTCCTCCAGCTTCGCACAAACTTGCTCTATTTCATAGTTCTTGGACACCAACATCACCCACTGAGCCTCGAGGGCTCTCAGCTTCTCGCCCGCCTGCATCTGCTTTGACTTTCTGTTCCAATTCACCTCCTGGATCTCCTTCTGCAGCTCCTGCAGGCGACTCTGGGAGCGAGCCTGCATGTACGTGAGGATGTCCAGGTAAGCTTTCCACGACTCACAGCCGAACTCCAGCATCAGCTCGAGATTTATCGTGCGCACTGACTGGTGTTCCAGCTGTGCCATTGAGTTGGAGATGCTGTCGTTCCAGGCGTTCAATTCTGAGAGTTTCCCGGGAGGTGGAGGCGGCAATTCGTAGCGCTTCATGCTCAGTGTCTCCATTGGAAGGCGGTTCTGCAAGCGCTCGAACTCGTGCGTCATGGCGGGCGTCTCGAAGGAGAATGTGTCCAGCGGAGGCAGGTGCTCAAGGTAATTCTTCGTGGGACGATATCGCCGGCATTCCTCTTCCACCATCGCAATGGCCTGGAAAATGTCGCGAGGAAAACGTAAACAAAGTGTCTTACACCCCATTTTCATCAATACTCACCGCTTCCCGGACACCAGCACTGTCATATCCCTGATCTATATAAGGCAAAGCATCGACTTCAGCCATCGCAGGACACCAGACAAGGAAGAATGCCAGGAAAATGCAGGAAATTGCAAAGTTCAGCCACACAAGCTGAACAGTCGATTAGCTCTCGATGAGCAGCTTTGGTTCGGCAATGTTGGCAGCACTGAATGTCGTGACTACTTCCGGAAGCAGTCGATGTGTCTTTCTTTTCACTGTTCCGTTTGATGGCGGAGTGGTATTTCGTTTGTGGAGGAGAAAATATCAAATAAGTGCTCCATCGAAGTGGTAGAATGGTAATTACGCTCTTGATTGTGATGCCTCAGAGTCTGATCTATATGGAACACCTGCGGGAATTCTGGGATTTGTTGTATTTCATGTGAATTGTTGAGTGTCATGTTCCACGTGTTTACGTCGGAGTTTGTTGTTAAACCAGCATGAAATTCTCATTTATCGCAGAGAATCCTGCGTAGGAAATCGCGGGGTATCTTGTACGGCTTTCCAGAATTCCCCTCGTGCAATATTTCGGCAGAAATCTGGGCTCAGTCGAGGTCCACTCCCACCTAACCTCACTTTCTTTTTGCCCCTTCCAGAGTCTGTCCGCAGCTCGCCCTGTGGTCAGTGTGTACACTGACAAGAATGAGGTGGTGAAAGACCACGATGTGCCCCTGCCGAGCATCTTCAAGGCTCCCATCCGGCCGGACATCGTGAACGAGATCCACCAGCTGATGCGCCGCAACCGTCGCCAGCCGTACGCCGTGAGCGAGGAGGCCGGCCACCAGACCTCCGCTGAGTCCTGGGGCACTGGTCGCGCTGTGGCCCGTATCCCGCGTGTGCGCGGCGGCGGCACCCACCGTTCCGGCCAGGGTGCTTTCGGCAACATGTGCCGCGGAGGCCGCATGTTCGCCCCGACCAAGACGTGGCGCCGCTGGCACCGCAAGATCAACGTGAACCAGCGCCGGTACGCCATCGTGTCGGCCATCGCGGCGTCCGGAGTGCCGGCTCTGGTGCAGTCCAAGGGTCACGTCATCGACGGTGTGTCCGAGTTCCCACTGGTGGTGTCGGACAAGCTGCAGGAGGTGGTGAAGACCAAGCAGGCAGTGGTGTTTCTGCGCCGCATGAAGATCTGGGCTGACATCCAGAAGGTGTACAAGAGCCAGCGCTTCCGGGCTGGTCGCGGAAAGATGCGCAATCGCCGTCGCATCCATCGTCGCGGTCCTCTGATCGTGTACGCCAAGAATGACGGCATCAAGAAGGCCTTCCGCAACATCCCCGGCGTGGACACGATGAATGTGTCCAAGATGAACTTGCTGAAGCTGGCGCCCGGCGGCCATGTGGGTCGCTTTGTTGTGTGGACCGAGTCGGCCTTCAAGCGGCTGAACAACATCTTCGGCACGTGGGAGAAGCCGTCGACGCAGAAGAAGGGCTACAATCTGCCGCAGCCCAAGATGGCCAACACGGACTTGTCGCGCCTGCTCAAGTCTGAGGAGTTGCGTCGCGTGCTGCGTCGCCCGAGGAAGCAGCAGAAGCGTCACGTGCGCCGTCTGAATCCGCTGAAGAATGCTCGCGCTCTCGTGAAGCTGAACCCGTACGCCGAGGTGGTGAAGCGTCGCGCCATCCTGGCGTCCGAGAAGCTGAAGCTGCAGAAGAAACTGGAGGCGTCCAAGGCGAGGAAGAAGCCGCTGTCCAAGAGGAACTACATCGTGCGCACCCTCCGTCGCGACGAACTGCGCAAGGAGCAGCTGAAAAAGACGTGGGCCGCCAAGAAGGGTAAGGCACAGGCCGCTGCCAAGAAGAAGTAAGCACGCTCCCCTTCTCGACTAGCTCTGATGCGCCCCACATAACACCCCATGGACGTGAAATGTTGAGAATAAAACGCCATGGAAGATAAATGGGAAACTATTATTCGATTATTCGTGCGTGAGTATCCTTTCCAAAGTGGTATACAGTAATTTTTCCTGGAGATCCTTCGCTTTCAATTTGCACACGTTCAGGCGTCTCAAGAGGTCGGCGACTGAAAAATGTTCGAGGGATACATAAAATGTCCCAGAAAGCGTCCTATTGCTATACTTACGTCGAGTCGAATCAGCCGCATCAGCCTGAGTCACAGAGTAGGTAAACTCGCTGGATCTGAAATTGATTGTCGTGGTCTTTGCAGTGCATTTAGTCTGCATTTCCACAAAGACTATGCGATAGTGCAGATAATTGAGTTCAGCACCGGAGAGAGACTGGAAAAATAGCAATGATTGATTGAATATTATTGGTAAGAAAGTGAAGAAATACTTCACGAAATCTTACGTTAAATCCTGAACTGATTATTTTTCTAGCAATATTATTTATCCGAAAATTTTCATCCTCTTCTTCCAAGATGGAATCCGACTGAGCAAGAATATCTGGACTTTTCTTGCTCACTTCTTGAACGCGCTCATGAGTCTTTAAGTCATGAACGTCAGTATTTGATAAGACTTCTTGCCAAGACTTTGCAGGTTTCTTGTGTAATTCCACAGCCTTTTTTGGAGCTCTTTGAATGGGTTTAGGCTTAGTTTCTTCGATTCTCTTTTGATTCAAATTCACAGATATCGATTTGGTCTTCACTGATGAAGTTCTGCTTTTCTTGTCTGCACTTTGCAGATCTGGAGAAGATTCAGAAGGAATGTTCACGCTCTCGACTGCACTCACAGTTGTTACGGAGTTGTAGGAGTCCTTCATGCTGCTCGACTCTTCTATGTGCTGCAGACTCTCTTTTATAGAATCGCCAATGGATTTCGCGATGCGATTCTGGACGCTTGGCGCAAATGGAGGAAATACAAACGATTGGACGTCAATTGCCTTCGCTTCGGAGCTTCTGGCCAAATCTTGATCAATGGTTTTGCTCTCAATCTTCAACTTTTTCTTCAAGTCTCTGATGCTATTGTTGAGTTTTTGATTCTCCTCTTCGATTTTCGACAACTCTTTTGTCAGATTCTTGTTAATTTCCCCAAGATCATTAAACTTCAATTTTATATCATATAATTCATGGTCCTTCACAAGAAGTTCTCTGTTAAGTTCATCAATGAGATTCTCTTGTCTATGCATGGCGTTTTGAGTCTTCACTTCATGGGAAATAGACGAAACGATTTCAGAGACGCTGGAATCCAGACTTGCAGTCCATTCTTCAGCAATCGTTTTGCTTTGAGAGGCAATCTGTGGAGGTTTAAGATCAATTTCCGTTTGACATGCTGTTGAATTTAGCACAAGAGAATCAGTTTCCACTGCCTTATTAACGATTTTCTTGTGGTCAGTCTGAACATATTTATCCTGGAATTCTCTTGCTATTTGAGATGAAACAGTGCGTAAATCAGAAGAGCTTTTCTCTCCGTATTCTAATTCATAAGACATTTCTTCCTCAATCTTCTCAAGTGAGAATTTTTCTTCCATGATCTCATTAATAGATAATTCTCTCTGTGATTCCTGAAAATTCTCAGTTTGAGCAAAAGCACCAAGAGTTGTAATGCGTTGAGTGAATTCCTCTTTGATCTGAAGAGTGGATATATCGAAAATTGCCTTCTCCAGCTGCAACTTCACCTGTGAGCAGCTGTAAGAGGATTCCTTGGACAGAAAAGAGATCTCTTGCAACTCACAGAGAAGTCTGTTGAGATACTCAACAGTGGAATGATCTTCAGTCTTCTCAGACTTCTCCATCACACTTCCTTCGACATTCTGCCTCTCGCAAGGCGACAGAAAATTGTTCACTTCGTCGAGTGTAAATCTGGCAGAATAGAGCATCTTGTCGATATGCAATTCCTTGCATGACCTTTCAAACTCCTCCGCAAAGTTCATCTCAGTTTTCTGTGTTTCCTCAATTAAACTCTCAAGTTGATCTAATTTCTTCTGCATGTTCCTGAAAGCGTAGATTTCATTATTCTTCTCACTTAAGTATCGCCTGAGTTCGCTGTTTTCCGTCTGAAAATATAATTTTTAATAAATTGCTAAAAGTGTTTTTCTTGTGACTTTATTCTCTTATTTTACCTCATATTCAATGAGATTATTTGAGTAATCATGAATGGCCGTTTCAGCGAATTTCAGCTTTTCTTCCAAAGCTCTTTTCTGCTCTTGCAATTTCTATAGAAAAAGTAGAATAAAGAATAAGTATAATAAGTGATATTCCAAGAAATTCTGACTCAACTCACAAACATCTCCAAAGTGAGATCGTCGAATGTTTCAAAATGCTCCGTATTTTCGCCTCTATCGATAAACATCTTCCGTTCCACGGTAATTTCGTCGTGATATTCAGAACTGCTCCTCGAAAGCTCTGCAACTGATTTTTTGCCGTGAAAATCAATTCTTACCAGAAATCCCAATACTCACATTCTTCTGGTCGAATTTCATCCTCAATCCAACCCGTTGTTATGCTGTTGGCAATATCTCTGAAGCTCCGCTCGTGTCTCGCACTGAACAGAGACATCGTCCTCATGGTTGAACGCCCAGAAGAATCGCCGGGCGTTTGCAAAAGATTGAGGGTGAAGTTGGATTTGACTCTGGGTTTGGAACTCCACGAGCTGAACTCACAATTTTCATAATTTTCCATCACACCGACATTTCTCAGTCTTCCACTCATCAATTCCATTCCCTCATAAATCTTCTTCTGCGTCTGGTAAGTCATTATTGCTGCGTCAGAGGCAGAGTAAAAGACGATAGAAAAGAGAGACTTTTGTCACCGCGACTATTACAAAATAGATTCAAAGACTCCCTGGTTTGTTCCACAAAAAGCATGAATTTTATTCTTGACCGCAATTTTCTAGTCTTACAAAATTTGTGTACTTTGATTATATGAATATCTTTTATGAGATAATGATGTACTGATAAATGATTTTTCTCTAGACTATCTTTAGATCCTACATAAGAAATGCACTGTTTAATCATAATATATAAAATAATTGCAAATTGGATCTTAAATAGTCACTACCGCTAATACTTTGAAAGGTTTCTCAACGAACTGGAATAGACAGAGGAGTTAGAGGAAAGTAACTAACAGTATTGATGAACATAAATAGCCGAGTACCATGACAAATCTTGCGACAGCGCTAAACAGCTTTAGTGCCTTATCTTATTGGGATCATGATAGTGCGAAGCGGGCATCATTGAGGGGTGAGGAGGGGGTGGAAAACAGCGAACGTGCTCCACTGTGGATCCCTCGCTGTCACCACTTTTCAAGTACTTGTTCAGCACTGCGAAGATCTGCGAGTTTAGCACTTGGAATCGTCGAATGCGATCAACAAGGCGCTTCAAGCTCTGAAAAAGATACCAAAATTGTACCTTCTGAACAATAAGTGTGGCCAAAAGTGACTTACTATCCCTTTCACGGTCTCATCCTTGCAGTCAACACGCTGAACACGCAAGATATGGTAGCAAAAGTCCAATGCTTCGAACTTCCTCTGCTGCCCCAGAAGGACAATCATGACGCAACCGGCCCAGTTGAGTCCCTCGCCAAAGAGTTGCCTAAAAATAAACAGTCTCAGTAACTATTTCAAGACCTCTAAAGTAATGAGTAATCACTCACTCGACGGTGAATTCAGTATCCGCCACAGGAATGCAGTAGACAAACTGGAGAGCTGACCAGAGGCGATGGAACTCAGAGCACTCATCGATATTCATGACTCCATTAATTGGAGCCGGACCCATCCACACAGGATCGTCCAGGTAGCTCTTAACACGTCCCAGAATCACCTCGAAAATGCTCAGTCCGCAGCACAACCTCTCTCTGGTGAGCAGATCTCCCTCGCGCGCAATCAGCGCCTGTTTCGCCGTGCCGAACTTCTCCACATTGCTCACAATCTGCAACGAAGAGTACTTGCTCTCGAGACGCTTCTGCTTCGTCTCAGGCTTCTCGCCGTCCTTGCAGTACGGTCGCGGCAAGATGTTCTGGAAAGGCGCCGCGTGCAAGAGATCGCACACTTCCTCCTGCGACAGAGCCTGCTCTATCAAGAGACAAAACAGGATGCTGTTCCCGAACTCACGAAACAGCTGAAATAGTTCTGTCTTTGCGTCCGGATACTGCACAATATCAATCAAATGGGCGTGGTAGTAGCTCAACACACCCGGCGAGCCATAGTCGAATCTCGGCAGCTTGCACGTCTGGAAAAGAGGGTAATTTTTAGAGACTTTGTGGGTCACATCACAGTGTCACTTCTCAACACACACCTTTGGCATCGCCGACATGAGAGTCTTGGTGAATTGCAGAAGATTCCCCTGAATCAGCGGCTTCACGATGTCTTTCAGGATGATATCCATGACCACAGCGATGCCTTGGTAGCCCAACAAACGGCACATTGCATGGAAATGTGGCGCCCCAACGAAGCTCGCATACTGTCCGTACTGCGTCGAGTAGGCTGCATTGAGTTGCTTGGAGCCCCACAGATAGTAATGCGACATTTGCTGTGGCTTCTCGCGCTGAATGGGGTGCACAAGGGATATTCCCTGTGGACAGCGCACGAATCGATTGGTGGCCGCGTTGTAGCAATAATTGGAGAGGAAGTCATAGTTGAGCTCGACGAAAACATGCAGGGTGACTCGGCCGTAGGGCGCTTGGACGAGGTGATTGGCCTCCTTCACCATCGACTCGAAGTCATCCAGGGCAAGATATTTGCTCAGCAATTTGTGGCATATGCGATTCACCTGGATCAGCCCTTCCAACTCCACAATGCCCGTGATATCTGTGGCCTCGAAGCGACTGATGGCCAACTCGAGACTCTTGTGCATGTCAGCATTGATCCGCTGTGTGATAAGCTTGTTCAGATCAATGGATCGGCCCAAGAGCTGAACGTGACGCTGCTTCAAGAGAGTCTCATAGCGATTATTTCTGGGGTACGATTGGAAATTGAATCCCAGCACTTCACACTCAACGCGGAAGCGTTTATCTAAATTCATGCTTCCGGCCAGTTGTTTGTAGTGGGCGAAGATCTGCTCGCTGAGCTTATAGACAAACTGATCGAAGCACAAATTCACTTCAGCCTCCACTTCGTCATAGAGAAACTGCTTCCGGAACACAGTGAGGGCGTAGTGAGCTGAATCATTGTACAGGTCCAGCGGATAGAGGACAAATTCCATCATTGAGGGCTCCTTCGTGCGCAAAATGTGATCCGTGAGAATCCACGGCATGGACATTTCAATGGGAAATTGAATTCTCTTCTCCATCGTGATCAAATCATTGCACTCCTCATTGTGCTGGTGCATCACCTTGCAATGGTTCACCTTGCGTCCCATGGTCATCTCCAGGTAGAACTCTCTGTACCACAGCTGTGAGAGATCGCAGCACTTCTGCAGCGACTCGCTGAAGTTGATGATGTAACTCCAGTAGAAAGAGTTCTTGTGGAACTGATCGATCTGCATCAGGCATGTGCCGTCGATGTCCTTTCGAAGGGTGCGCTTTCCACCCGACTTGTCAGCAATCAGGGACTCCAGCATTGTCCTGACCATGTACAATTGCGTCGAAGAGGGGCCGACATTCAGGCGAGGCACGTTGATCTTAAAGCCTCCGTCAGGATCTTTCTTTCCCTTGAGAGCAGGATCCTCCAGGGACTCACTGCCCTTCTGCCAGTCAGCCGAGGATTCACGAACCGACATGATAATGCTGAAAAGATGACAAACAACCAATAAGAAGATCGAATTAAGTGTCGAGAAGTTTCACAAAAGACAAATTACCTTCGGATCAGGTCCTTCTTGTTCTTCACCGCCTTGCGCAGTGGCTCCCTCAGGGTCAACTGCACGAAATCCTGTAGCTCAGCATAGATGCTGCGACGGATGGCTTCGCACAGCACTGTCTCAATGCGCGTCATCAACACTTGAAGCCCCTTGATCATGGCGATCACTTCAATTAGCGCAAACTTCTCCTCATCCGTGTAATTGTAGCGTGTCGCCCGCTCATACTCTTCCGCCTCGACGGGGCACTCTTTGTTCTGGTGGTGATCAGTGGGGTGCAACAGCTTCCAGGAGTACAGCTCAGTCACCACGCTGCTCCACTCGGACAGCAACTGCAGCCCGCGCAGCGCCAAGTCCGCCGTGGCGCGATTCTCGGCATCGGTGGTGTTATCCTTCACCGTGGTCGTGACCTCGTTCGTGTACCTGGCCAGCTCGGAGATGTACTTCACGTGATCCTCGCGGATCTGCGGCAGATGCACCATCAAGTCCGCCTGAGGACTAATGGCTTGCGACGAGGAGAGCGGCCACTTGCTGGGATCGAAGTGCTTGCTGCGCTTGATGTAGTTGAAAGGCGCAATTTGCATGTCGCCGAACAGCGGCACCACCTCCAGATTCTTGAAGATCCTGTCGATCCTGTCCAGACGCAACTTCTTCTTCTGATCCAACTTATTGACATTGCATGCGTCCGTGTCCATGAGGAACAGCCCGAAGCCCATCACCTTCACCAGCATGTGCTTCTCCTCCGGCGTCATGTACATCTTCGTCTCGAACATGTGCACGCAGATGTTCACCACGTCCGCCATCAAGTCCTCGTAGCCCGCGACCTTCTCCAGCGTCTCGCGCACTGCGTCGCGGATCTTATTCTGCGTGGCCAGGAACATCGAGAGGTTCTGGGACTCCTGCAGAGTGTGTGAGTCCGACATTACCTTGAGGAACTGCGCGGCACGGCGATACGTGCTGTAGTCATTCTTCACGCTGGACTTCATGTTCTTCAGCTCGTCCAGGACGGCGAACATGTTGATAAACTTCCCAAGAGTGAGCAAGTACGCCTCGGACACGAAGTCCTTGCGCTTCTCCGAGTGACAGAGCCGCTTCACCTCGGCGCAGAACGCCTCAATGGCCTTTCTCTGGAAGTACATGAAGTTGAGCAGTTTGTTCACTTCCGGTGCTAGAACTTCCACTGTCTTCTCGTAGATTTCCACTCTGTTTGGCTGCTCGTTGGATTTGGGCTGCGGAATGGCGCGCGAGCAGCAGCGCCAGGTGTACAGCATCACGGCGTGTTGCTGCCCCTCGTCCAGCAGCACGTTCAGGTTGGCGTGCACGGTGGCCTCCTCGATGTACTTGGCCACTCCGGTCACGAACCCGTTGCGGTCCTCGAAGTTGGTGTCAAAATTCGCCTTGTACACCACGGAGCACGGCTGGGCCTCGATGCAGGGCTGCTCGTCGGGGAGTGGCAGCTCATCCAGCACCTCCACGTTCGACAGAGCGTCCGCCAGCGTTATTTTCTCCGTCATTGCGCTTGGTTGGGGCTGGGCTATCAGGGGAATTCACTGAGTAATACGGCAGAAATGACGGGGGACTCAGCGGGATTGATTCACACCGAAATTCGACACCTTTCGGGCATATTCACCACTCACTGCAATCACGAGCACACAAATTACAGTCCGGGTCACGAATTTACACTGTTTTTGGCCACTTTCTGCACGAATTACAGCGATTACTGGGGATTTTCTCGGGAGAGTCAGCGAGAGTCGATGAGAGTCACGTCAGATTTCATGGCGGCCGCTAGAGGGTTTCTCAGTCAGAGAAATAAAACACCCACCCGCAATGATTCCATTGATTCGATGCATCTGGCACAGTGTGAGCCGACTGATCTGCTGGCACAAAAGACTTTACCACTTAACTTTTAGCATTTATTGTAGGTCTCAAATAATTTATATGGCAATTATTGACTTGCATCACAAAAGCTATTTTCTATAACACTTTCTTCGTCAGTTGCTCGTGAGTTTTACACTTTTTTCTTGTCAATATAATTTCTTATCTCGCACAGTGCAAGCTGCTTTAAATGCAAAATTAGATTTTTTTTTATTTATATTCCTTTTTGTCTCTTATTCGAAAGCCTATGCACGCGAAAAGGTCCTACAAATGCATTTTCCACATGATAGGAACTCACTTCTGATACAATTCATTCCTTTTGTGAGATAATACTGGGTTTTGTCTCGGGAACCATTCTTAAATATCAAGTCTTACAATTGCAACAGAAATGCACTTTCTATGATATTTTTTGTGTTTTTTCCTTTTGTAATATACATTAGGTAGTTTCTCTCTCTCCATATCGCTAAAAGGGTGTTTTCTTCTTTGTCCACTCAAGTAGTGTGAAATGCAGCAAAATTTACTGTGCTCTACTTCGATGGCTTCTTCCCTTCAGACGACTTCATAGCCGTGGTGACGCTTTCCACCAGTCTCTGGAGTCTGGTCTTGAGTCGCGATTCCCGCGCGAATGCCTGCACCAGTTCCCTCTCCATGTTCTCCACGTACTCCGTGTCGGAGCACGCCAGCTTCTCGCTGTTGGACTTGGACACGAGGGCTTCGTTGTGGGTGAACTGCGCCTGGAGTTGCGTCAGTGCCTTCTGAACAGTCATCAGGCTCTCCTCGGCGTATCGTTTCTCCTTCTCGGACATCTCGGCGCGGAACTTCACCTCCGTCATATCTTCACGCATGTTCATCAGTTCCTGCATCAGCACCGCCACTTCCATATTCGTCCTCTTATCCTCGTGCGCCACTTTGGCCACACTGGACGCCACCATTGCCGCCTGGAAGTCCCCAGTCTCCTCGCAGTAGTACGGCGACTGCAGGACAACTGTGGTGTTCTGGACGCGAGCGCGGTTGCCCTTCAACTTGGAGATATGCTCACGCAGACGAAAGTCATCCTCCTTCGACCAGGGGGTCAAATTGTCATCACTGTAATTGGAAACAGATTCAATTAGCTCTCAATTACGCCAATTCAGTAAATCAAGGCATTGAAGCAACACAACCAGAACTTGGCGACAATGTACAAATGGCAAGAATTTGCAGAATTTAGATCCGAAAGTAATTTATGTGCAGAAAACACACTTATATCAAGTACACCACATACAGAGTATTTTATCCGCCTTGTGAATTGCTCTTTCGCAGCTATGTGAGTGTGAATTGTTGGGGATGAGTTATTGAGCGCACTAAATCACTCAATAATTGACTGCACTTCAGCTCCAAAGGCCATTATTGAATACATCAAGTGTGGAAAATTGCTTGACAAAAATATAACGAGACTTTTTCGTGTCTCCCATCGCATTTGATGGCTCTGTTGGGCCATGGAATTTGTAGGGGAATATGGTAAAACCACTCTAAAAATACTCTCTTGTGCAGAGAGATGAAAGAGATTCACCTGGATGAGTAGATGAGAGAGGCGTCTTGCCAGGGCCCCAGGCTGTGATCGGGAAGGTTCTTCTCACTCTCCAAGTGATTGAGCAAATGACGGGCAACATTTTCCGCATCCTGGCGATTCTTCTGGCCCGCCGGATTATTCTCCAGCACATCGAGGCGACTCTCGAAGAGGGCCAGCATCACGTCGTACGCCTCGATGGTGCGATCGCTGAAATTGAGCGCCTGCTGCAGAGCAATGGCATTGGATTCGTATTTTCCGCACAGCAGATACAGCTGATCACAGTGAGACTTGCTCTCGTTGAGCGTCAGCGAGAGCAGGGCGTTCTGCGCCTTCAGGTGTTCTATACAATTGTGTAGGCGCTCAATCTCCAGGATATTCGAGATCTGCAAGTTTTCCAGCTCGTCTCCCTCCGCCTTGGGATCGTGCAGCAGATCCGCCATGAGGTGTTCGGCCATCATCGGGAAATCCTCAGCCAGCATGTCAGGAGTATTCGTTCCACTTCGCTCCGCCGTCTTCCTCAGCTTCACTCTCTCAGCCACTTTGGCGATCGGTGGACCATTGCTGAACTCCTGCAACTTCTGGCTCTTCATGGAATTGTAGGTTCCAAAGTTTGGGGATTTCTTAGCTAACTCAGGATTACTGAACTTTGCCGGGAGTCTTTGGTTTGTAGGAAGATTCTCCTGAAGTGGCTCCAGACTGTCACAATTTCCCACCTCGAGACTTTTCAGATTGGCACTGGATGCCAAATGTGACTGCAGAAGCGCCACTTGACCTCGCAAGTGTAGGATTTCCTCCTGAAGCATTTCCAATTGAGAACTCGATGTCTGAGGTGGCATTTGGCCCAGATCGTCTAAGTTTGTAAGCCTCTCCAGTTGCTCAGACTTCACTTCCAGATGATCCGTGAGCTCATACTCTCCACCTTGGCCATCGAGCTCTGAATTGTACACGGAACCCTCCTGGAAACTCAATTCCGACACTGAAATAGAGAAAGAAATCCATTAATGCGAGATTGAGAAGCGTAAAACTCTTTCTTACCACTTTCTTCGGGCTCCTGTTCCTCGAGGATTGATCTCTCCTCGTAGCGCTTCAGCTTCTTGTTCAGCTCAACGATGACACAATGCATCTCAGTCAGGCGGCTTTCATGGGCTGAACTTATTACCTCGAGCCGCCTTCGGGAGCGGTCTTTGTCCTCCAGTGCATCGGAGAGCTCCTTCTGCAGCGTCTCCTGGCCCTTGATGGCGCTCTTGAGCTTCTCCGTGAGGTCCATGACTTCTGTCTTGAGAGCTGACATGGCGGAAGCGTGGAACTGTGAAGCAGAAGAGCAGGTGAAACTCCTCCCAAGGGCTTTTCCGGGGACAGAAGACTCACCTTATTGGCTAGATCCACAATTGAGCAGTTCGCCACTTCGCTCTCGGTTATCTGACTGCCAGCCTCGCTGGATGTGGGCGCCCTCAGAACTTCCGGGGACAGGTCTCTGGCGCCGGAATCTCGACCCCAAGACTCCTGACCGTTGGACACGCTCTTTCCTACACCTCCCGGAGAGACAGAACGATGAGAGCAGCTCACCGCGACACAAAACACCCCGACTTACCTTTGACACTGTGTTTGGCATGCTTGATGGTGCTCTCAGGCTCGTTCCGCGCCTTCAAATCCCAAGGGGGCGTGTGGTAGGACCGGACCAGATTCGCCCGCTGGCACAAATTCACGAGATCATCATCGGAGAACTTTGTGTACTGCTTCTGCGGCGACAGGTCCTCCTCCTCCATTTTTCCTCAGCAACGCACCGCCAACCAGTGACTCTCTCGCCGTCTTCACGCCACGGGAATTGCGTGAAAATCGGAGAAAATTCACAGCGGAGCACAATCACTTACCCCGCCCACGAAAACAAAATAAAACCGAATACGCGGAACACTTGGGCAAGTAGATTCACATCACCGCGAGGCACAATTCGGTGAAGTGGCGACGGTGAAAACCACAGAGGGACTGTTTCACAAATAAAAGTAACATTTAGATGAGGGAAATGGGAATTAAAAGATTTTCACGCAAAATATGGCCACGGATTTTTGACGGAAGTCCCATAAACAAAATAAACGGCACGCACGCCATCTGGGCACTTGATGGTAAAGCTGGGTGTACTAAAATCCAGTTTGATTTCAAATATCGACAAGTCTGACATCTTAAAATAAGAGAGTGAATCATGAGAAAGTGCAATTCATTTGGGTTTTCTCAAAATTCTCAAAATCCCAAATGTATTTCTTTATTATTTCGATTATTTCGTATTATATCCTTTATAGTGAATGTTCTTGGTAGTTCATCACACTTTTTGTTTCTTCCTGCTCGGTTCATCGGACGCAGAATCGCTGTTTTGTGAGCTATCGATGAATTGCTTCAGTTTCTCCAGTTTGGGCGAATAAGCCCAGGAAATGAGTGCCAAGTGCTCTTTTGTGGGCGACCCGTCATTGTTGAACAGCGGCAATTTCTTCTCTTGAATGCTCTTTTGGAGCTTCTGCAGATTCCTATTCCTCACAATATCCCAGGACTCTGAATCATTGTCGTCTGGAAACATCGTCCTCAGCTTCTTGTAGTTTCCGCCAGCGGTACCTGTGTAAGCACTTAAGAATTCACTGGCCACAGTCTCCGTGGGCTTGGGAAAGTTCTGGATGACCTCAGCAGACAGATACTTCATGTTGGGCTGCTCAGACGTGTCCAGATTGTCCAGATACTCAGTCAGCAGCTCCACAGCTTCCTTTATGTCGGATATCTTCTGCTTATCCTTCGTGCGAGATATTACGCTTTTTGAGCTCGTTATGAGACTCTTAAGAACGAGCTTCTGATAGTCTGCATCGCGCTTATCAAGGATTCTGAAACACACAAAGAGTTTACAATTTAGTTGTCTTTGATTTTTTGAAAATGCATTCCTCACTTGAGAGTCTTTTCGGCCGCCTCCTTGTCCTTGAAGCCCAATCCTGGAACCTTCTCAATTTTATCCTCACTGTCTGTCGAAGCTTTTGTTTTGCTCTTGGCCGATGTACTCTTGTTGTCCTCCAACCACTTCTCGAACACCGCAATGGCATCTTTAATGTTATTCCGTTTTTCCTCAGCTTTTGTCACTGCCAAAATTAGATTGATATTACATCATCGATTATAAGTATAGCCACTGTGGAGACTCGGGTATTTCTTACGCGTTAGAACCCTCTTCGCTCGCCCCAACAATCCCCGGATCGTCAGCATCCTGTACTGACTGTCCTGGTTCTCCAGCAACTTCAGCGTATCCAGCGCCTTCTGCTTATCCTTGAAGCCATATCCTTCGCTCTCTTGATTGGACATTTTCCAAAAGCCTCAATTTTGCACCGACTAAAAGAAACTGTTTTCTCACTGAAGCTCACAGAGAAACTGATGTGACCAAGATTTTATAGGCAGTCAAAAATATTGTGCGGCATATCAACAATACAAGAGCAGAAATTACGTCATTGTTCCCAAATACACGCGAAAGTGTTAAATGCTTTCGCAGATCGCGTATTTATTCAAAGCCGGTTGCCCAAACGTGAAATTCCAATGTCACGACTACATCTCTACACTCACACTGTATATAAGGCATTTTTTTGGGTTTCTTATTTAATAGAGAACCCAAGATGACACTCTTTCCTCGGTTGAAAAGCGAAAGTGATGAAAATAGTCATTATTTTGGGGTGAATTGTATTGATAAGAGCTCATAATTCACTACTTTTGAGTGAACAACATTGCGCAAGGTCTGTTTGTTTCCATAAAATATGCAATGCACTGCGACCTTACATCGAGTCTGCGGTCAAATTGTGTGGAGAATAACAAAATCATAGCTTTCTAATATCATAAAAGTCCTTCTCACGAATGACAAGTGAACTAATGTTAATTGAAATGTACTTGTTAGGGTAATAAATTGTTACTTTTATTGCTTCTCAGGGTGTTCTTAACAAGTTATTAGAATACATTTCATTGGATTGATCTTTGGAAATATGATGATAGGGGTAAGAGTAGTACGAGGAGTTGGATCGGTTTTGTACAAACGTGGCGGTGTCTGTAGTCGTTGGAAGTCCGTTCTGTACATGAGTGGAATCGTTGCGAGGAGCCAGGGTGAGAGGAGTGCTCGGAGGGTCCGCATTCCCAGCAACATTTGAGCCATACGCCATATTAAACAGGGCTTCAGGATCACAGACAAACTTGTAAACGTACCTCTCACCTGTGGACAATCAAAGGGAGCCATTATGCCCATCCCCCTGAGGTTAAATCATGACTAACCTGCCACTTTCTGCATGATTCCCTTCTCGTAGTAATACCTCAGACTGCGCGACAATTTGTCGTAGTTCATTGCGGGGCGATTCTTCTGAATGCCCCACCTTCGCGCCACTTCTTCCGGCTCCACCAGTTTGAATTCCATCCCTCGCCCTGTCCACGCGATGCATCCTGCGCTCGCGGTGGGCTCGTCCAAGAGCGCCACGAGGAACTGCCAGAGCTGCAGGGATCCGCGTCTCTGGTGGATGGCCGTGTTCGACTGGTGGATGGCGGCTATTGCTGGGGAGTTATTGCTGGAGCCTCCGCATGAGATGTAGTCGGGCTCCGTGGACGTGACGGCTGCAGAGGTGTCCGATGTTGAGCGCAGCCCGTAGTTCTGCTGGTAGCCGTGCTGTGAAGACTCCGCTAGGTGATGATGGTGACTCCCGGAGGACACAATAGGAGTATGGTTGATGTGGGACGTGGAATCGGGGTAGATTGAGGGATGGCTGGTGGAGATTCCTTGAGATCCGCACACGGTCTGCGTCACAACTGATTTCATATTACTGTAAATCTGATCCGTGAAGAGACGGTCTGAATATGAGGAGTGCCATCCTGGAGGGAAGGAGAAATGCACAAAGAACGGAATGTGGGTTAAATCTGAAAACATCCACGGTATTCTTCCGGATGAAGCACATCATCATTACGAATTAATAAAGGTTAAGTAGTGTATTCATCTTGGTTTTGTTACAGCTCTTATTTTTTCCTGAATAATTAATAAAGGTGATACAATTCTCACAATCTAATGACGAGGGTCCATTTAATATTTATTTATTAAGTGGATAGATTCCCTTCAGCGCGTGTATTGAAAAAGTGCATATAAAACAATACAAATTCTTTCATCCTCATTTTACGTTAGAATAAATATTAAGAGGTGTCTTACTGAGATGATATTTTAATTTAAAATTGTGTACATTTCATTTGTTTGTAGCGCTATATTAAATTGTATCACAATGGAACGTTCAACAAAATGTGCTTAAACATAAAATGCTTAATTCGCTTGAGGCGTTCCATGGCGTCTGCACAGTATAAATGTGATATATTGGATTTATTAGATGTTTATTTACAAGAAATAGCGAAGTCAAACACTGATAGAACTCAATTTGATTCGCCGCTTGGCCCGGGAATTTCACGCTCACCGTCACGAGGGTTTATCAAGGCGTATAAGAACCTCGAAATTTAATGTTCACCGCGAAGTGGAATATTGGCAATCAGTGGTCTCTTCATTCCATCGGCAATAATCTCGGAAATATTGTCACGTAGTTGAAATATTACTTTGCATAATCCAAAGGTATCAGGAAGTGCTCTCCGATATATCCCGAGGAGCTACACAGAGAGAAGCGCATAATTGAATTTGTTGGGTGTTATACGTGTCAAAAAGGAAGAATAAATTGCAAATCGATTTATTAAAGCGAAGTGAATATCTCCCACTGAGCGATGCAAATTCGCTCTGGGGTATTTTCATTGATAAGGATGGAAAAGAAGCGCGCAAAGTAGACTTAGGAGATTATTGGTGAAATTCATAACTCCCCTGTCTTGCTACCGTACCTCAAATGGGTGAAATGTTGCACAGAGTGAAATGAACAATTCATTAATATCAATTATTGAAGGGCTAATTATTGCTACCCCGTCTTCCGCACGACTTTCATATCTGTTTGCCATATTGGACTGGAGGTGGATGAAACCCTTTTCCACTCCCTCGTCATTTAAGCCCATGTTCATGCATATTTACCCCCGATCATTACCAAATAGCCTTGCCAAACAATAAGTTAGTACGCGATAGCATTTCACGTGGGGGAATGTCAAAAATTGTTCCAGCGCAGAGGGTCATGATTAAATAATATGCCATCCGCGGCGTGGAGTGATGGAAAGGCCAGAGACTGAATGCAAATTGAGCAACAATTGGAGACAAATTCATCAAGATTTACCACATAATTCAATGCAAATCTATGGTGAAAAGGCACCCCAACCCTCGGCACACCCTTAAAGAACTCACCCTCGACAGGTTCCCTCTTCACGAGATGCGGAGTGGTGGAAAATCTGCAATCAATATTCATGCAGGTGAGATTTAATCCATCCGAAAAGTGGATTGACAACTACCTGTAGCAGTAAGGATGCGGCGAGGCCACGGGAATGTCGAAGAATGACGATCGGTCGCTGAGAACGCCTTTGCCTGCAAAGATTGCACAACGTGTATTTTTCCATTAAATCTCACATCTTGACTTCAACCACGCGTCCCACAATAGAATCAATTCTCCCTCTCCCGCCGTCGATTCTGCCAAGACTTCCCGTGGTGACTCCCGAGGAGGAAATCTCTTCTGTGACAAGTCACAAAGATGTGCTTGACGAAAAATAATTTGATATCAAACAGTTTCTGCAACCACGAGATGTATCTCTTTTGAAATCAATTTGTCTGCATAATATATGACTGAAAACCCCCCAGAGAAGGGACACAGTTCGGGACATTGAAAACTCAGAATTGATTTCTGTGCCAATTTATCGACGGGGATAGAAAAGAATATGGAAATAAAGAGTTAGAATCGGTTGGCTAAATTAAAATTTAATACTCTACATTTATGTAATTGAAATAAAAAAACGATGTGTGATTAAATTGGCCGATGAAATCGACAGAAGACTTTTTATTCTACAAAACAACACATTTTTGTATTGCTTCAGTTCCTTCATAAGCCAATCAAAGTTAAGTTTCTTTGCAAAGTACATAAAGAATTATTGATTGTTGCAAACGACGAACCTTTCAGTTAAACTTTTAATTTTCATTTACATAAGGATATTCTAAAAAAAGTTGATTGTTTAATATAAAAATAGGTGAAAATAACGAGATTACTGTCATAATAATGTTCATTTTACAAATTTTTACCCATTTATGAATAAGGTTATGAGTATTATTCAAAATCTGGAGGAAAATCTTCTACAATATTGATATTTTTTATTAATAGTTTTTACCTCCCTTCTGATTGCTAATTATTTGATTTATGGTATGAATGCAAAATTGTTTTATTTTCAAATACTAAAACAATACTCATATAACAAGAAAGTGAATTTCGAACTTACAAGTGTGCCTCAAGTCATCTCCTGGAGACGCGTCAGTGGCCCAGATATTCCGATTTGCCACGGAGCGGAAGTCTAGTGTGGATTAAGAATGAATGAAGTTCGATCAATAAGGCATCGGGAAGGGTAAGCGAAGAGTCAATCCTCCACTCTTTCGCGTGGCAATCTCACCGTTTTCCTGCTGAGGTAAGGGTGAGTGGATGCTTTGATGTCCCTGATGTACCTGCGAGGAGATCAGCGGCAGAGGCAGCGAGGACAGGGACGACGCTGCGGAGGATGGAGACGCGGAGGGCTGAGAGATGAGAGCGGAGGCTGGCAGGATTGGGGAGGACGATGAGACTGTGGCTGATGCTCCTGAAGTGTTTTTCTTATTGTTTGAAAGAAAAGAGACATGACTCAGCGGGGATGCACTGTGTCCCAGTGAATCAGTGAGGTTCTATAAAAGGAATGAAGAAGATCCAGCTGTGAGAATTGGATTTCTCTCCTCATCGCCTCAACAACCTATTTAGCCCATTTTCCAATTTAATTTCGTAATGGACTCCCCGTCATCGAGTCATTCCCGAAAATCATTCCACAATATTTCTATTTAATTGTTTATAGTGCGAAACGGTGGGTTGTTCTTTGTCGGGCCCTCCCGCCCTTCGGCCCGCGTAACAAGCGCATGGGTTTTGTTGGTATTTGATTGCCAATTGCTCTATCATCTCACACATTAGCCATTGTTGAAAGGTGTAGTGTAGTGCATTGTTTGCGGTCACCCCAACTAACAGTCCCCACGGACTGTAATTCAATTCAAGCCGCTATATTTAGTTTCATCCCCAAACCCTCGATGACATGACAAATATCGGTGGGATCTCAATTACACCTTCTCTGGAGAATTTGTCAAGTGGGGTTTGTGTGAAAACCAACAAATAATGTAGTGTGAACACCTGTAACATCGTCGAGTCGCTCGCTTTCTTGCTAATTAAATGGCAATTTCACATAAAACTCCGGAATTCAATCAATAAAAATAAAATGACATCTTCATTTGGCAACACGACGTTTGTTCTGCAAATTATTGAGGGAAAACAATCTCGAGCACTCGCAATAAGGAAATCACATTCCGATTTTACCCACAGTATAATATTTTCCCGCGAATTTCCGACGTATGATTTCCGGTCTAAGATTGTTTCATTTCCCCTTCAAATCGTTGTTGCGAAGGAAAATTTCTTTGCATTCGACCTCTGAAAGGGGATTGTAGAGAGTTAACTATTGATTTTCAATATGCACAATCAAATTAATGTCATACATGTGCATATATAGATGTTTTCCACATCAAATCTTTGAAACGTTGTCATAAACTCAATCTCATACACAATGATGAGTAAAAAAAAAGGTTTTATTCATTAATTAATTACTTTTAATTTTTTAAAAACACATCCTCATCGCACCGAACTGATTTAATTCAAATATTAAAATAAACCCGTCGGTTGATTCAGAAACGTGTTGTTTTGCTCCAGAAAATCGTTATTGTTTTAACTATACGGTATTTTCATTAGCATTTTTACTTTTTAATGATACTTTTCCTGACTGATAATTGCTTTTAAATTCATACAAAATATTCCAAATTATCAGTTAAGAAATCAAAATATACAGTTCAGAACCACTAGAAAAAAGATGTTCTCATACATTTTTTCACAAATAGAATAAACATAAACGACACATTAGTTTCGCAGAACTTTTTCATTAAAGGAAATCACAATTTGTATACTTAATATGTTTCAAAACTAATAAACACTAAAATCACTGATCTCTTAAATTAAAAATTCCTTTCCAAGAACCGAACTTACAATTTTCACAATTTCATCTGTGATTCCCAATTGGGAGTCGATATTATTCATGTTATTGTGTAACTTTTCTTTTTAAATTTGTATGCTAACTTTTTCTGTATAAAACTACAGTCACTTGTGCGATTCCACTGGCGTGTAATTGCCGGAAAATGTCTCAGGATGTACTGAAAGGCAATCGTTCTTCTTGCGAGACCGTGAGGAAAATCAGCAAAGCAGGGTTTGTGCTGCGAAAGTGGGTGGAGCCTCGAGTCAGGAAAATTCTTCAATTGCAATGATTGCGCAAGTTGGACTGCTAACGCCCGCCCCGTCGGAGAGTTGTTATGGTAATTTCACATATAAATTTATAACATTAATCACTAAATAGATAATAATGGCGTCGAATTTTTGTCCTCTTTGTTTATTCTCCTTCATGTATGATTTGCAAAGAATAACATTTCAGGATAAAGCTCACAGAGAGCACAAATCCATAGACGACAAACTCAAATATGTAGAATGAAAGGCAACATTAGTGGGGCAATATTAATTTTCACTCACAGAAAAATGCTCCACTTTATTAAATTTCCGCCTTCTCATTTTGCGCTACACACGAAGAAGCTTGATTCTTGAGTATTTTTTTTTAATTAAGTCATAATTAAAGTAACACTCGATGATATGCAAAATTCACACAATAATACTTTGATTCATAATAACAGGAAGAAATCCATTCGTTCGCTTCACTTACAGTAATGAATATTGTTGTGATGTACATAATTCTGAAAGCCATGCTAAATTATGCAACAGATAAAATTAAGGCGATTTAATATTAAAATGTATTGACGACGAAAAAGCACGTTCGTTGAAAATATACGTGAAACACAGAAAACATTAAGCTTTTTCCGTTTCTTTTGACTTTTAGACATTTTTATTCAGCTATTTCACAAGAATACATTAGCATAAGTACAGTTCTTAATGCCATTTTTGGTAATTTTAAATGCATATGTAAGTCTTCAGACAGTTCTTACGTAATCGTTTACATACGATAGAACATAGGAAGAAAATCGGAAAAATCAGTATGCAGCGAAGTTTTCTTTTGAACATACTAAAAAAACTCTTCTAATCCTTTTGATGGATATTATGTTGCATACTTTATATTAATTCGATTAATTAAAACTTGAATTCAGAATAAATGAAAAAAAGAATTAAGAAACATTCATTACGAAATAAAAATCAAGTTCGATATGTTGAACGTTACATATTAGACTCTGTACATATCGTACATATATATGTACATTTGAAGCATTAGAACTCGCGTTATTCCGGGCGTTGCTGTGAGCGAAACAATTACATGGCTTTCGGGAAAGCTGTTGGTGTGATTCTCAGTATCGCGAGAAATGTCAGTTTGACGACGGAAAAGTGTTTTTTCCCCCAAAGTTTTATACGGATTTCTACGTGAAAAACAGTAGAAGGATACTCAATATACAGTTCAGCACTACCATGAACCCTTTGCGTTATCGCTGCGCAGCTCTGTTGACCTAGTCGTGTATGGAAAATTATGCAAAAGTGCAAAATGTTTCTCAACGCAGTGCATTATGTAAGAGACAAAGGGCGAGGGACTTTGCATCATGCTTAAATTGTACGGCGATTGTGTTGCTGGGCAAGGGAATTAGTTCTATTCTCCAGAATTGGAGAGTTATATTGAGAGATAAGGTTTAAGTGTGCTGTTTAGTCTCCTTTTCCCGACTCTTTATGGCAAATTTCGATAGAGACTGGAAAATAAATGTCGAGGAAGCAATTTAATTGATAAAACCCATAAAACAATGAATCGTAGTAATGTGCTTTCAGTGCAAAAGAGTTTTGCGAGTTGAATGAATAAAAGAATGAAAAATGTTTATCCTTCGTTCTAATGATTTACTTGCCCTCATTTTGCAGATTTATACGATATCTTCGAGTTCGAGTCTCTTGTGAGAATGGGCAGATCGGATGCGATAGGGAGTGGCAGTGCCTGCGTTCCTGCTCTCATGTTCCCACAAAATTGATGCAATCAACCAAAAAGGTGGCGAAATATTTATACTTTAGCATAGGAAACTGTTTTATGCTGTGGACTGCAACATGTCGAGCCCTGACTTGGAGAATCGACAATTCCTCAAGACCATCGAGTGGGAGATGATGGACAAGGCCAAGTTCTTTCCGCTGAGCATGCTGAGCTCCTTCACCGTGCGCTGCTGTCTCTACCCTCTCACTGTGATCAAGACGCAGCTGCAGGTGCAGTTCCGGAACGACGTGTACTCGGGCATGCTGGACGCCGGCTCGAAGATCTACAAGTCTGACGGCATTTCCGGGCTGTATCGCGGCTTCTGGATCTCCTCCGTGCAGCTCGTGTCGGGCGTGTTCTACATCAGCACGTACGAGAGCGTGCGTCACGTGCTGAGTCAGTACGGCGCCGGGCCGCGCGTGAAGGCCCTCGTGGGCGGTGGATGCGCCTCTGTGATCGGCCAGACGCTCATCGTGCCCTTCGACGTCATCTCGCAGCACATGATGGTGCTGGGCATGCCGGCCACTGAGAAGGGGGGCCTCAATCCGCTGGGCATCAAGCCGCAAAAGGGGCGCTTCAGGCTCGCCGCCGGCATCACGAGGGAGATCTACAGGAGGGATGGTTTCGTCGGTTTCTACCGTGGCTACACCGCCAGTCTTATGGCCTACGTGCCCAATTCTGCACTTTGGTGGGCTTTCTACCACCTGTACCAAGGTGAGTCTCACGCAATGTCTTGCTGAGTTGAGCAATGCAACCAAATGAGTCATCTTTCAGATCAACTGTACAAAATACTGCCGCACTGGTCGTCTCATCTGTTAGTGCAATGCATTGCCGGAAGCTTCGGGGGCTTCACCACCACGCTCATCACGAATCCTCTCGACATTCTGCGAGCACGGCTTCAGGTACAGCGCCTAGGGTCCATCCGGGTGGCCTTCAACGAACTGTGGGCCGAGGAGAAGATGCACATGTTCTTCAAAGGACTCTCGGCCCGCCTGGTGCAGAGTGCAGCCTTCTCATTTAGCATTATCCTAGGCTATGAAACAATTAAGAGGATATCTGTGAAAGAACAATACAAACACCTAGTAAAGTGGTGAGAATGAGAGAGATTGAGCACTTTTTACCCAGTGTACATATAATAATTCTTTTTGTAATAGGCAATTGAAGTCTTTCTTTTACGCATAGTAACTTATACACAAGATTATTGTTTTACGGCTTTGTTACTGTTCTCAGGAAGAATCGATGAAATGTGTAATATAATGTGTAGAAACAGAATTCAAAGTCTTTTACTCCAGAGTGTTCTCTACTTTGGCGAGATTAGTTTTATCGGGTTGAGCTGGAGAGGGCAAAAATGATTAGGAAATGTCATTATTACTTCTTATCACTTAATGGCTACGAGGCGATTAGGTAATATGTTATAAACAGCAGTTAAAACTCACTCATCTCACTTAGTGCTTTTATTACAAATTGCCAAAAAAGTATTGTATAAAATCCCAAGCCATTATAAACTGTTCAACAATATTATTTCTTCAATGCTTTTCCGCCAGAAACCAACGACAGTGAAGCTTGCAGCTCTAAATATCAATGAAAATTCTTTGAATGCATTATACAAATAGGCAAAAATTACCAAATTAAATTGCTTTCCTGCTACTTTATCCAAAAATATAACTTCCGAGTTACTATTTTGCCTACAGAAACCATATTGCTCTCCTGTCGTGCATATCAAAAAAAAATCTGAGAGTACAAAACAATTCTTAGTCCAACATCTTCCTGATCATGTAGTTGAGAATTCCTCCGTGGCGATAGTAAGTCAGATCAACTTCAGTGTCGAATCTCACGAGCACGTTGAACTTCTTCCCACAATTTGTTTCCACGGTGATCTTTTGTCCGGGCTTGCAGTCGTCCGGAATGGCAATGTTGAAGATTTCCTTCCCAGTGAGTCCGAGAGTGTCAGCATTCTCGCCCTCCAGGTACTGAAGCGGTACAACTCCCATTCCCACCAGGTTGGACCTGTGGATCCTCTCGTATGACTCCGCAATCACCGCCCTGATGCCCAGCAAATAGGGCCCTTTGGCGGCCCAATCACGGCTGGAGCCACTACCGTAGTCCTTGCCCACGAGCAGAATCAGAGGAGTCAACTCCTTCCCGTACTGCTCGGCACAGTCGAACACGTCCAGCTCCGTTCCGGATGGGATGTGAAGAGTTCTGGGTCCGGCGTTCTGCACCAGTTTGTTCACCAAACGAATATTGGCGAACGTTCCTCTGGCCATCACGGCGTCATTGCCACGACGTGACCCGTAAGAGTTGAAATCGCGTGGCGTGAGGCTCTTCGAAGCCAAATACCTCGCTGCTGGACTGTTGCGAGCGATAGAACCAGCTGGAGAGATATGATCTGTGGTCACAGAGTCACCCAAGAAGAGCAGAACTCGAGCCCCAACAATTGGTCGATTTGGCGGGAGTTCTCGGGTCATCGACTCGAAGAATGGCGGATGCTTGATGTAAGTAGACTTTTCGTCCCATGGATAGAGCTTGCCTGTTGGCGCCTGGAGAGCCTGCCACGCTGATGATCCCAACTCAATCTTGCCATAAACTTCCTGGAACATGGCTGGGATGACGTATTTCTGCTCAATAGCCTGAAACCAAGAGAATCAGAAATATAATAAAATCAATCTCATTGAACGAAGAAAGGTTTTGGACAGCTCACATGAATCTCCTGCCTCGTTGGCCAAATATCGCGCAGGAAGACCTTCGAGCCATCAGGTCTAGTTCCCAGCGGGTCCTTCTCGAAGTCAATATCAACAGTTCCCGCGATGGCATACGCGATAACGAGAAGAGGACTGGCCAAGTAGTTAGCTCTTGTATTGGGATGAATTCTTCCCTCGAAGTTCCTGTTTCCAGACAGGACTCCAGCACATACCAGACCATTTTTTTCAATGACATTCACCAGGTTCTCCTCCAGAGGTCCTGAGTTGCCGATGCAAGTCATGCAACCGTATCCCACCACATCGAATCCAAGAGTCTCCAGTGCTGGAATCACGCCAGACTCTCTAACATTGCAAAGAAAAACTAGTTATTTCTCTATCTAGTGAAAAAGAGTGAGAAAATATGTACTTCAGGTAGTAGGTAACCACTCCAGATCCAGGTGAGAGAGATGTCTTGATAAATGGCGAGACCTTGAGGTTCTCGCTGACGGCCTTCTGAGCCAACAGACCGGCCCCCAGCATTACGGAAGGGTTGCTGGTGTTCGTGCAAGACGTGATTGCCGCAATCACCACCGATCCGTGCCTGAGGGTGTAGGTTTTTCCATCGGACCACATGAAGTCCCCACTGGCCGACAGTGAGTCCGGATTGAGTTCGAAGCCCTTGAAGCCAATCTGCAAGAGGTATTTCATAACATGCGCTCGTCGCTTTTGGGCCAAACTGGAAACCTCTGGGAGATCCACTCACAGAGGCGAAAACGTATAAAAGGCACCACAATTAGCGGGAATATTTCAGTCTCAGCAAAACACTAATACCGAATTCCAATTGTGTTGTATTGACTCGAGCAAAATTGGTGATAGTGCAGAAATTCAATTGAAAATTGAGTAACTTTCTGGACGACTTGCAAAATGCCTTCGCCACAAAACACTGCGACTCTTCAGCGATTGACGATCTAGTCGTTAGACCATTTGAGTAGTGACTAGAACGAACACTCGCGCTCAAGATTGCAGTCTCAACACCCGGGAAAACAGTGATATTTGCTGACACTTTTGTAACATGAAAACTCTTTTCGTTGGCCATTTCTTGAATTTGTTTTAAAGGAACTCCTGCTGTGATGTTGATTATTTGAAACATATCACAGTAGTTGTACTTTAACACCGATTCAGTGAAGGCATCGAATTGTAATGAAATAATTTGGGAGTTCTTTCAGATCTCAAGCTCACAATTATGCGATTAACTCAGCTCTGTCGGTGTCGGTGTGTTACGAAATTCATCACTGGGCTTAGTTTATCGCATAATAACATTAATATCGCATAGACACGTAGAAAGTGTGTACCTTGTTGGTCAAGCAGGACCTAAAATCGAGTTGCATCTCGCTGACAGCCACGCGATCATGCGGACGTTTTGGGCCAGAGACCGATGTGACCACAGTGGCCAGATCCAGAGTGACAATCTTCGAATAGTGCGGATCTTGAGCAGCATTGTTGTAGTCCCGGAGTTGCTTCGTGGCCTCCAAGTACTTCAAGATGACGTTGATCTTCTCATCTGACCTATCTGAAAGTGTAAAACAACATGTCGCGCTCAAAGCTTGAGGATTATCAACTCACGAGATCAAAACTCACTTGTTTGCTTGAGATAAGCCAGAGAATTCTTGTCAACAGGGAAGTATCCAACCGTGGCACCGTATTCCGGACACATGTTGCTGATGGTGGCTCTGTCAGCGATGCTCAACTCCTCCACTCCGGGCCCAAAGAACTCAACAAACTTCCCAACCACTCCAATCTGACGAAGATGCTTAGTGATGGTCAACACCAAGTCCGTGGAGGTGGCCAGCGAGCTCAGCTTCCCGACCAACTTGTAGCCAATCACTTCGGGCAGAAGCATAGAAATTGCCTGGCCCAGCATCACCGCTTCTGCCTCGATTCCTCCCACGCCCCAGCCCAGTACTCCAAGTCCGTTTATCATCGTTGTGTGAGAATCCGTGCCCACCACGCTGTCTGGGTAGAGAACCTTCGAACCATTCACGGGATCCTCGAACACCACGCGCGCCAGGTACTCCAGATTCACCTGGTGGACGATGCCTGAGCCAGGAGGCACGATTAGCATGTTGTTGAAGGCCTTGGCGCCCCACTTGAGGAATGTAAATCGCTCCTTGTTGCGCTCAAACTCGAGATCCTGATTCTTGGCCAGTGCATCGGGTGTTCTGGCAAAGTCCACCTGAACCGAGTGATCAATCACCAAGTCGGAAGGACAGATGGGATTGATCTTGTTGGGGTCACCGTTGAGCCTCAGAACAGCATCTCGCATCGCAGCAAAATCCACAACAGCCGGCACTCCTGTGAAGTCCTGGAGGATCACACGAGCCGGCTTAAATGCAACTTCGACTTCCTTTGGCGATGACTCGCCCTTGATGTCCTTCCAGCTCAGGATGTGTTCCACATCCTTCTCGGTGACTTGGAAATTGTCGCAATTGCGCACGGCCGACTCCAGAAGGACGCGTATCGAGAAGGGAAGTTCACCTGTAAGGATGCAGACAATTGTTAATTGAACACAATAAAAGCACAACTATTCAACTCACCAAATTGGCTGCCCAAGGAGGAAATATCGTAAAATACGTAGTCCGCATTGTTGATGGAAATTTTTCGCTCCAAATGCTTGAATGGGTTGGGCTCTGGAAGACCAAAAGTGTAAACAATTCAATTAATTCAGCCCCTCGGTTACAAAGCGCACATAATTATACGTTAAATTGTCGCTGGAGAGACACACACTAAAAAAAAACCTCTGACATTATGTAATTCTAGCGCTAAAAGTAAACAACTATAGTTCATTCCCTCCTATTTAATTTGTTGAAAAATGTCGAAATCATCAAAGTCAAAGGGAAAAGCATTTCACAAATATTTGGGGAAATTCTTCGCACTTTCATTGTCGCTTTCTAACATATGTGAGTTTCTCGGTATCACTTTTAAACTTGCATAATGAAGAGCTATCAAGCAATTGAGCCCATTTTAATGTCAGTGGGAAACCACTTGATTTTTTTTAATAAATCGTATGGGGTGATCTTCACATGGTAATTATTATTATAAAAAAAGAGAGTGACGAATTCGCTGAGTGCCGCAATGCGTGGTTTGAGTGATTACAAACGAGTTACGTAGAGAAGTAGTGGAAGAATTTATCTAAGCTCAAGTAAATTCCTATTAATGGAAAAACAAATCAGAGAATTAAGTGCATTTGTATTATCAGTTGCAGAAAATAGACAATTTTATAATTCTGTTCGAAAGAGTCTTCACTGTTTTCACTATCTATAAGAACAACAATGAGCTGAGTTGGGCTTAATCGACCTAATCACTGAACATCTAATAAGAATTTCAAATTTCTTCAATGCATATTTACATTTATTTGCCGGATAGTGTTACGTAAGGCAGTTTTTGTGGGAAATTATTATATTTCTAGTTTCTAGAGGCTTCGTGAGGCCACATTAGCAACATAATTGGGCAAATATTTCAATTATGCAATCACACTCTTTTCTCTGGCTTATGCACTTGAGAAACCCCATTCATGCTGTCCCGTGAATACTCTTGAAACTACTACAAAACTGACCAAAGATGACCGGTCACCTGTAACATATACAGCAGCCGATTCTCTGTGTTTGTGCAATTGATGCGACACTTGCTCAACCTTCAACCTCTCTCGATATGCAAACATGTACGACAAGTAGATTAGAAGAAGTTACATCTTCCAATGCACAACATAGCGAGAAAACGGGCGAAATTTGTGGAAATCTTGATAACAATAAGTGAATGTGCCACTTTGGCCACCGCCTCAAAATACCACGCACTGCACCCTTAATTGCTAATTTACTCGCAAGACAACTGCGGGAAGAGATAGAGGGAATGTTTAGGCACAACTTACTTGCCATTGCAGGAGTTTTAGCGTGGAAAATGACCCGAAAATTGGGAAAAACTGAGAAGTCACGTATTTGCGTGAGGGTTTTAAATAGATACGTCAAAAACAGAGATACAGTGTTGCCAACTTTCCAGCACGAATAATTTTAGTACATCGCGGTTTAAAATGTGGAATTTCAGTAATAAGAAATTTCAAAGGTCCTTCTGGCAGAAGAAGTAAAAATCTCAAGAGATAATTAAACATGTGTCGTCTCTTCTCGGTGTTAGAATCATGAGGGATTTCAGTGTAGAACTGTTCATCGGAAGTCTGTTTTATTTGAATATGGATTTTCGAGTTGAAGCCTAAATTTATCTTTTCGAACACACTTCCTCAATGCTACGCGCATGCCCAGAGATTTCATAGAATTCCTCTCAGAATATAGTGTGTAGTGGAGTTCTTGTCAAAAATTTCCTGTGTCCCTCTAAAATATAATAGTAAATACTGCGATATACAGTCATCTGCAATTGCCTCCAATTGCGCTTTTCGGCCTGGGGCACTGCACCATCGTGGAATTGCATCTCGTGCGCCAGCCTCTCCCACTCAGAGCTCAATGGTAATTCATCCAATTTGTTGTGAACATTTACCTATATACGTATTCCACTCTCATGTCTCTCAATATTGATTGAAAAGAACTCTGCGATGCGATATTCTCCGCGGAATATCTTCTTTTTCGACTCTTCGGTGGGGTTTGGCGCCCGTGGTGGTTATTTTGCGGCCTCTTTCAGAGGAAATAAGGGGAGTTTTGCGGTAAAGTGGAATCCAATTGGGAGTTGAAATGGCTATATTTCAATGCTAATTTGAGAATTAGACTCTCCTTGGGACACTTCCCGTTCGTGATGTATGCAGAGGCAATTGGTCAAATTTTGCATTTTAGGCCAGGAAATTAGAGCATAATGAGAATTTGTGGAGCGTCTGGGCGTTGCAGAACAAGTGAAATGATAAATAAGAGCAGCACGGCTATAATTAAAAGCCTGCTTCTCCCATGAACAGGCGCTTCAGGCCACAAATGGAGTTTTGCTATATATGCAAATGCGAGGCTATGTGAAATGATTACACAGGTGAATGAATTTATAAGTCGATATTGTTGTGTTGAGAACAGCCCTTTTGTTTCTCCATTCTTCTGCCCATTATTACACCGGATTAATCAATTTCCTATACATCAGCGTCAGATACTATAAATTACATAAATGTTGCCACTATTCTCGACACGATTTATTCCTTTCTTTTGTGACTCGGCTCCTTTTGTTCTGTGTCACGAAAGTTTTTCCAATACATTTGGAGCAATAAAGCTCTGATTTCTTTCCGGACGGATATTAATTGTTGTTGGCGAAGATAATTGGGTCACCTGGGCAAAGTGTTTTCGCATCAGGATAATCCACAGGGGACAGCCAGCATTGTATCGTAGAATATTGCTCGGGGACTTTTGCATATTTCAAAAGCCATGAATTTAATTCAATTTTCATATATTGGGAATATATGGTTAACACAGACACTCAGAATTACTATACAAACAATCCCAGATAAATCCCCGGAGTCGTCTGTGAAGCACCAAGACTCGGAAGTGTTATTGCATTACTCATGCACACGGAGCTTCTGGGGAAGAATCTATTGGGGAAAGATGAAGCCATTGACGGAATATAATTCAATTTAATATAATTCAGTTCGATTGAAGATTTCTATATTTATACATAACATATCTCACTCTGAATTTCCCCAGTTCAACTCAGTTGAATAATTTTATGTGGAAAATACTAAGTAATTCAAGAGTTCTTGAAAATACTGATTGATTTTTCATTCTCGTGTATCATAACAAATTTTGTCGTCTCTCCTGTGAATAAATCAGTACGGAAAAGTTTGATTATATCAATAAGTAGTTTAATAGTTTACGTGGATGTCAAGGCGAGAGGACTTCACATGAACGACTAAAGCATCTTGAATGAGAACATGGGGAAATTAAATTAAGTCTGCAGAGTTGCAGAAAGTTATATTTCAGAATAAAATCACATAAAAGTCAAGGAGTTGTTGTGAGCTTGTAAATCGGAAAGATGTTTGCAAATTCCATCTTTCCGCTCTACCGAACGTTGTAGCAGCAAGTGTATGTTAAATATTCATAAAGCGACCATTAGGAAATGTTTCCGATGTGTCATATTTGTTTTATCCCCATAATCTAATTCATGAAGGAAGTCCATCGCCTAACAGGAAAGACAATACAGCGCACAAGAGCTTTTAGTGTTCAGAGTTTGTGCAGAGGAAGTGGGTCTAATGGTGTACACTTTCACCAGATACTATCGTAGCCTTGTAATTATAGTCCACAAAAGCTTTTCGATATTGGCCTAGTGGAAGGGCAATATCGACTAAATAAATCCCCATTAAATTTTTCAGTTCGGTCTTTTAGCTGTTTTCAATTATAGCTCTTTGCGCGAGGACTTTTCCCCTCCGTGTATAGATTTGCTTATCACAACCGCAAATATTTTTGAGAGCGGAAATTATAAAAGTTTGAACGGCTTTCGCTTTATATGCTTTACATTGAACCTTACCACGAACATACAGTAAATGCAGAACAAACATTTTTTTCCGCATTTATCTGGCCAATGTATATACAGTAATTCCTGCAACACGTTGCCCATTCGTAGTGGTTAGTTGGGAATTTAATTCAAAAGTCTCCTAGAAAGTCAAATATTTGATACTCAAATACCATTAATTTTGTGCTCTTTTCAACCACTCCAACTTGCGCAAACAGTAGCTGAGTAGGACATTACGAGAGAGAATATCTAATTATCCGCCGTAATTTCTGATTCCCTGGCATTAACTCTTGACATCTGCATAAGTGGAGGAGTTTTTAATTAAACCGTTTCATCATTTTTCGGATAAATGCATCTTCATCTCCTCTTTTTGCACCTCTCTCAGATATTCAATCATTCAATTGATGGGACTTTCGAGGCGAATGAACCGTACAATAGATGCAACAGTTTGAGACAGACTTCGTTCACAGATATCTTATAAGAAATTCATCACTGTGGAACTCGACTTGGCACATTGAATAAATAAATCAGTAGAGAGTGGAAGAAAATATAAGAGTGTCCTCGAAAATGGTGACAATGACATCGGAAGCAGTGGATAAGGGAACAACATCAACCGAGTCCAGCACGGCAATCGTTCCCAAGAAATATGTCACGATGGCGGGCGGAGAGGATGCGCCAAATATACTGGTGTACAAAAAGGTATGTATCTCTCTATGACGATGTCCGATGAATATTTAAAACTGCAAGTAGACTTTGCGGAGGCCGATTTACCTTAATACTTTACTGGACTAATTCGGCACTTAAATTTTACCTAGATGGAGGCTATCATTGAGCGGATGCAGAGTGAATCGGGCGGCGTTGCTGTGAGAACTATTAAGGCTTTCATGAGCAAAGTGCCGTCCGTGTTCACGGGAGCAGACCTCATAGCGTGGATAATGAAGAACTTGGACGTTGAAGACCTGAACGAGGCACTTCATTTGGCCCACCTGCTCGCCTCTCATGGCTATCTCTTTCCCATCGACGATCATATCTTGACTGTGAAGAATGACGGCACGTTCTACAGATTTCAAACTCCCTACTTCTGGCCCTCCAACTGTTGGGAGCCCGAGAATACAGACTACGCCGTGTATCTCTGCAAGAGGACGATGCAGAACAAGACACGGCTAGAGTTGGCCGACTACGAGGCAGAGAATCTGGCGCGACTACAGAAGATGTTCTCGAGGAAGTGGGAGTTTATTTTCATGCAGGTGAGCCACGAGCAACTTTGCGATATATAGTTTGGAAATCAAGTAGATGTTTGACCTATTAGAGACAGGAGTCTTTAATCTTGTGGCTATTGCTTAACTTCGGGCACATAAGGAGTACTTTATTAATGGAGGCACGTCGCTAATTCGGACTAATTGCATTTCAGGCGGAGGCCCAGAGCAAAGTGGACAAGAAGCGTGATAAATTGGAGCGCAAAGTGCTGGACTCGCAGGAGCGTGCTTTCTGGGACGTGCATCGGCCCATGCCGGGCTGTGTTAATACCACCGAAATGGATATAAAGAAGGCATACCGCCGCGGTGGATCCAGTAGTTTAGGTTCAGGATCAGCGGGCGCGCTGAGCAATAATCCCGTGGAACAGATGACCCGCACAATAGGATTACTGAAGCAGCGGATGGAGCGGCGGACAATTAAAATATCCAAAATAGCCGAGAGCTATATATCTTACTTTGAGCAATATAACGACTACGATTTTTTCATCACAACCCCCGAACTCCCTAATCCGTGGCAGAGCGATAACACGGAATTGTGGGAGCAAGATAAATCAGGCAAGGAGGTACCACTCAGGCGGGTGAAGCGCTGGAGTTTCAGCTTACGAGAACTTCTCAATGACCCAGTTGGGAATGAGCAATTTGCAAAATTTTTGGAGAAGGAGTACAGCAGTGAAAATTTAAAGTAAATCCATATACAACCCTTATTTTGCCGCCCCAAACATAAGCCATTCACATAAATATTGATTGGACATATTCTCTCTCGACCATTTTGCAGGTTCTGGGAGGCCGTGCAGAACATGAAGACGCTGCCACAGTCAGAAGTCAAGGAGGCCGCCCTCAACATCTGGAAGGAGTACATGGCCCCCGATGCGCCCTGTCCCGTCAACGTCGACTCTCGGTCCGTCGAGCTCGCCCGGGAGGCTGTCATGTCTACGGGCCCCATCAATCGATGGTGCTTCGACGTCGCCGCCGCTCACGTGTACCACCTCATGAAGAGTGATTCATACTCGAGATACTTGCGATCTGATATGTATAAGGAAATACTCAATGGATCAAAGAAGAAGGTGAAATCCATCCCCAACCTCTTCGGTGTCAAGCGCTAATTGATTTATGGGGTATAAATGGGTAATTATACCACACTCACTATTTGGATAACATTGTAGTTGTTTCGTTCACACAATCACTGTATTGATGTGAAAATGATTACATGTAGCATTCAGGGTACAAAGTCATATTTCTCAGTATTTTATTCCACTTTTGTAATTAATAATTCTCTCTTTTAAAGTTAGTTTAATCATTTCTCATATTTATTTTCGGTATTTCGGGTATTGCGGCAAGATCATATTAAATACTCAATCATAATTTATATTCGTACATTAAATGCACAAATGTAACACTGCAGGTTTGTAATTGAATTTTTAACCATGCTTTATGAATTATAATATACCTACAGTTTTGGCTGAAGCATGCTAACAGAAAAACAATGATTAAATTTGGAACTATTCATGACTTTTTTTTAAAAGCCACAAATTAAATTACTCATCCACAAAATGCCACAGATATATTTTTGATTTTTTGCATTTCTATATGCAACGTCATCATTTATTTATTCATTCTTGTAAAAAAATTCCTTTAATAAGCGCAACAGAGGCAAAAAAAGAACGAACCGCGATTATTTTAAATCACACATTTACTGCCAGATTAGCAAGAAGAAAATTAAAACTGACACAATACAAAGCGTTTTGCAAATAGAAATTTCTATGCTTCAACAAATCATAATTAATCACACATTTTAGCTTGCTTTTCTTAATAAGGGAATATGATATTTTTATATTCATCTATAAAATCCTTCACCAAGAAATCAATTATGATAATTTGAGATGAAATATTTATTATATATAGAATTCCGAAAATTATTTTATTAGGCAAATTTATATAAGATAAATTTATTAATAGAATTTGAATTCTATATTAGCAATTCGTCAATATTTGGGAATTAATCATATTTTAGGGAGAAAAAGGAAAAAAATATGTTGTATTCCCATAATCTTTACCTTATAATCTTTAAATATCATTCTTGGAGTTTTTTGAAAAAAAAGAACATTTTTATATGTAGTGTCATTAAATTGTAATGTATTCGTTCAAGCAAACATATTTCTAAGAAGAAGTGAATAATGTATTTTGTATCAAATTCTCATAATATTGTCATTTTAGTAAAATCTGGCAAAATCACAATTACACTCTGTTTGCCAATTACATGGATGGAATTACATGTATAACCAAAAATAAATACCTACCCTATAAATTGATGTAAATGTATACTGAGCGGTCATTGCGGGTTTTCGTTTGTAATTTTATATAGTTTGGCAATTGCGATGAATACATTTGGGAGATGTAAACGCTGCAGAGGAGTGTATTATTTTATCAATTAGCCACTTTAGGGTTGAAAGGTTAATCCTCGATAATTGTTAATTACAATTGAAGTGTTCAATATACCAGTTGTCTTTTATTTTGTTAATTGAAAGTGACACCAAAGATTTTTCGATATTTTGCTACTAACGTTACACATTAAATAGTTTTGAATATAAGTATTTTTAGTCATACGCATTTTAGGTCAGAAAATGATAGGTATTGATATGATAATATAATTCAAAACATGGAAAGAATTTTGTGATGTTTCCTTTACGAATATATCTAAGAAAAAAAATTAAGGGTTATTTGTGAGGAAGAGAAACCACTTTGATGAGATGTTTCATTTATTATTGAAAGAAATATGTTGATACTCATTAAATCAATATACAAAAATGAGAATAAATTGTGTAATTTACCATCACTATTGAGATCTCAGCGAGAAAAATTGCCACCCAATTTTCTCCACATTCTCTCACATAAATAAGACAGATGAAATAGCTATAAATCTCACGAAAATGTGGATAAACTTGAGGTTCTTGTTCTCCCAGAAATCCATACTTGTTGCAACACCCTTTCCATAAACATATGGATTATTCCACTGCTGGCTAGACAAAATCTTCACACGTTGCATATCTTCGTGGGGGGAAAAAGCGCATATCGATTTTTTTTTAAAACACTGCATACACATTCTTCCGCCATAAAACACGAGGAATATTCATCTTCCTCTTTGACCCAACATTACTTTGTGGGAAATATGCTTTTGCCAGCCCTGAAATTTCCACGGAATGCCGCCTCCGGGGGTTTGAGGAAAATTCTGCAAATTTTAGTGTGAAAAATTATAGTCAGGAGTGTTCAAAAGCTCTTCACATGCGCCTCTTCGCCATACATGTTGTTGTAATTGAGTTAAGTTTGTAAGATGAACCATCAGGAGGAAACAACTTCTTCGCCACATCATTTATTATTCACATATTTTCATGTTAGTATTATTTTTAGTTGCTCCCTAGTATGTTTACTCTGGTGAATTTCGTCATACGAGTATTCCCTCTCGTGAGGATACTTGCAATCAAGAGCACTCAATTCTGTGGCGTGGCGTTTATTTATGCATAAATTGAGAATGTGCTTGGGTTTGTTTAAAATCTCTCTCTTTTCTTTTTGCAGTTTATGCTGCCAGGCAGACGAGAGTTCTATCTTTACTCAAGCGTCTATATTTGATTTGTGCTTCGCGTGGTTAAAAAGCACGAGATTCTATGAAAAAGATAACGATGAAAAATATGGAATAGTTTTTCCTCATAATTTTACAGTGAATGCTTGCTGAGAAATGAGCAATTTCAATACACTTAGAAAAAGGAAATCCATCATAAGCCTGCAGATTTCGGCCCTTGTGACGCACCAGACTCTCGTAATCCCTCTCTTCTCGTATGAATAAACTTAAAGAGGGGAACTTTAATATTCTTTTTGATAACTTTAAATCCATCCGAGATTAGAGCCTCGTCTCTCTGTAATTCGAGCACTCTGCAAAGTAGTGGATAATCAAGCCTCTCCGCATCCCCTTGGGATAGAGAGAGAGCGTTACTATTTTGGGGAGATTCCTTGTATTTTTCCTAATTAAAGTTGAGGGCACGAGAAGGGTCTACCCTTGTGCCTGACAAAATAATTTCATATTTATTTAAGGCGAGCTACTCTTGAGCCGCCGCGCAAGATGCGAACAACCAGATACATATAGTCATGATGGTGCAAAAATGGTGAAACTTTTCAACTCTCACTTTTCGCTTTGCAACTCTTTCTTCAGGAGCTTCCAATGATGGCTCAACAAGAGGCGCCACATGTGTTGCCTTTCACCCCCAATTTCACTTGAAAGGTGTACACACTTTGAGTATCTTTAATGTCTCGTTTTCAGTTCATTTCAATTATTTTTATATCCAAAAAAATATATTAATTATTCAGTGCGGATGGAGCGAGGGGTGTGCTTTTCACGGAAATCAGAGCGAGGGAGGGAGTGCTTTGAGCAAAAAATATTCCATATTATGTAGATATGTGCATATGTATTTTTTTATGACAGGAAACTCTAAAAGAGAAAATTACACGCTCGAAAATCACTTTGTATAAGTAGAGTAAATATTTAACACTGATAGTTAGGAGAGTAAAAATTCTATTGAAGCTTGTTTCTCTTTGGACGTGAATAAAATATTTTTACGGTTCGGCAGAAGCGAAGTTCGTTCTCATCGTGAAATATTAGATTTTAATTTCCTTTTAATATATGATTTATGCTCCTACATGAGCAATGAAATATTAATACGTATTGTTTACTTTGTTGACAAAGGAAGACAGAAAGTTGAGTTGATATTCAGTTGTCCCGTATTTACTGGCCCCTTATATCAGCATTCCCAGCACGGCTATTGCGCAAGAGCTGAGAATTATATACACTTACTGCAGATTTCAGGCTGCAATTCTATATTGTTAAATATTGTATGATCAAAATATGGAAATAACACAAGACACACACATACAATGTATGGTTTTATTTGTCAATTTGTAAAAATTCAGTGTTTTGCATTTTTCTCCTCACCAACTCGAGAGTACTTCGCCATTCATACAAATTTCGCCGCGTTCCTGCTTCTGGGTAATTATTTTAATAGTGAAATTCATTCTCATGTCTGATATTATTATAAACAACATGCCAAATTTGCCATGGAAACCTATCTAGTCTTTAATAAATCAATTCCTTATGCTCAAGCCCGAGAAGGTGCCAATCAAACGTTTATTTTTTTCTAACATTTTCATGCTATTCGCTAATACGAGCCCCAAATTGGCCAAAATATCTTCTACCTTTTGCACGACACATCAACAAAAAGCGATAGATTCCCTATAAATAAGGACACTCTGCGAAGGTTAGAGGTGATTGAAGGACAGGCAATTGGGCTCATTAGCCACAAGATTTTTTTTCCTGCCCAGCAAAATGTCGTGTGGCTGAAAAATTACTGAACCCGATGTAAGTGGAATAATCTCCACCACAGGTCTATCTTTTAGGACTCTCAGTCGCTCGAGCGAAATTTTAATTGAAGATTTTATCCACCTTACTAAACATCATTTTCCACCTTTTCCCCCCGATTTGTGTGATTTAATATTATGGTGCCAAAAGTGAGCAAATGTGGCCTCACACGACAGACACGGTTCTACTCAGCATAACTTCGTTTAAGAATATGTGTGTGGCGTTCCTTCCCACGAGAAAACTTCATAGTGCACGCTCAGGATATTTTCCAGCTTGTAAAATTGATTTCTGGCAAAAAGATGAATTTGAAATATATTAGATTGTGAATTTCCCTATATACTTTTTCACGTCTAGAGCTATTCATAACTGCACCGCAGCGATCACAGCATTTCCAAACTTTTTTTTGCAGTTTTGATTTAATCACATTTCAAAGTTCTGATTTTGAAACTGAACTCAAAATATCTACACAAGTCTTTATAATTTCATTACAGCCTCAAACAAGAAGTGAACTTATCATTTAACCATTCTCTTTGTCACGATGTTCATCTTATTATTCACACAACTTCTTACATTATTGCCAAAAGCTTATCCATAAGACTTGGTATAAAGTTTTTGGAGTGTAATTTGAGTTCAAAATCCGAAACCACCGGTATTGCTTAAAATCAACGATAGTGAGGACAATATGTGTACTCAAGCTTCATCATGAAAACATAATGCACTGAATTGAAACTAAATATGCTTCAGATGAATTTCACACTGAAACTTGATGTAGCGAAACCAAAATGTCTTCAGGCTCGATAACCGGTACACAGTTTAAGCCAGAAGGAAGAAAGTTTTCTTGGCACCAACTTTTCACACATTCTACATATATTCGAGACACTTTAAAAAGACTGCATTTTTCCCCAGTTTAAATTCTGCATTGTGGCGTTGATTTCACAAAAGTCAAATAATTCTGATTTGTTCGTTAAATATTGAGACTGAAACATTACAGAAAAACACAAAGGAAAAAGGTTAAATCTTATAATTAAATCTATCCAACCGCTACTTGTGCGTATGTACATATTTAATCTCTTGGCCTCTTCTTAATTTATTAATCGTCCAAACAAATTCTGTGGGTTTCGCTCGCTCGAGAGGTAATGCAATACTCGATTCTGTGGCAACCGACCGGAAAGGATATTTATTTAGGAGCTAATGGCATTAAATCACTTTCTACGCCTAATTAGTATTGTTTCCGAATATTTGATCAACTCCGATAAATGGGGGGATTTTTCCCTCTTGCAGAAGTCCGCCCCTCACATGTCGAATTCCAATAAAGTCGTGTGACTTCTCAAGTAGCGTGCAGATATTGGTCTGAATTGTTTTATTTAGGACTGACAAAGTGAAATTTAATGTTGATCATATTCGGTAAATAAGAGAGCGCCGCGAATCTGATTCCACTTAGGGGTGCTGATATTGAAATTAAAGCTCGGAGTAAATTAACATGTAATCTTACGGGTGATGTAATGGGAAATGATTCGCATCTACTAGGATGAGAGTACACACCGTACAATTATGAGGTGAGTGCAATTATTGGGCTCATTTGCAGATTGGGTGTGCCTCTTTAAATACATTTTAATTGAATTTCGATATAATTTGAACCAACTAACGTAGAAAAGCAGCTAAAATCTGTCAATGTGCATCAATATTATAATATGCAATCAAATTCCACGTTTTTAGCATTTATTGAAGTGAATTTAATGCTTTTGTAAATTATGCTATAAAATAATATTTGCAAATTACTTGTACGATGATTGCACGATGAAAATGCTGATGAGTTGTTGGTGTAATGATTAGAGAGGGTATTTTGGGACTGTCCATCAGAATTATTCAAATTCTCCATTAATCGCAATTATTTTCCATACGCTGTCGATGGGAGGTACATATATATTTTGGGTCTATTTCCCCTCCAGTACATACGTCAAGTGAGTACATAAGCAGCTTTATATCTCACGCGCTATTGTACTCTTAAATATTTCAATTTGAATGAGTATCGGAATATTTATGGCTACAGCATAATCATTTTTCTTGGAGCTTATTGATAGAAGGAGTGAAACAAGAGAAAGTTCGGTTGTTGAATTTATACGAACATCACAACATTCCCCTCCTAATCTCTCTCCTCATCGTGCTCCTTCAGGTCTCAATTCGCTCTCTCGGAGTCCGGCTCTCTCTCTCTCTCGTGTCCCCTCTTTCGCTCTCTCTTTCTCTCTCTGGGCAAAAAATATATACACGAATTTCCACGTTCACCTACATTTTCCTAAAAATCTCAGGGGAGAAAGCTATCGAGAGAGCTTATGGTTGACGCAAAAGCTCTCTGCGGCAGCATGATATGGTTTATGAGTGCTGCACGGGAAACCTTGAAGTGCTG